ATCCATACATCCATACATCCATACATCCATACATCCATACATCCATACATCCATACATCCATACATCCATACATCCATACATCCATACATCCATAGGTATAACTGGCTTCTGAACTAACAAATGAACAACTTGTAGATATCGAATCCCTTCTCTTGACTGCTTGACTGCGTGAAAACCGCTGCAAGGCTATAATATGGTGTGATCTAACAGGTATGATACGTCGTGATAATTATCGTGTATTGTAGCGTAGTGTACTCCGTATTGCGGTTTGTAATTGGTGGTACAGTAGTCGGCGGCGAGGTCGCGCGCGCCAACTGTATCTACATGTACGTACGTCGACATAGGCATGGGCGTGCACATTCAGCCGCATGGCTATAGGCCTAGGTACTGTAGCACTTACTCTGTACGCCGTGGCATAAGAGTACAGTAAGCAGTATACCGTACCGTTTGTGTGCTATTATAGGGGGCGGCGTGGAACGATTACTATAATACGGTGTGACATGCCGTGGCATATGATATGATATAATACCTTGTGGTATGATATGAAACGTGCTGGCATGATGTACTGTAGTGTGTTGTAGTGGTACAGCAGTCGGCGGCGACATCGCACGCCAACTTGATCTACATACATAGACATGGACACAGCCATAGCTAGCCTGAAATCTCATGAGACCTGCTATGCTATGCCTATGCCACCTGCCCCTGCTTGCTATGGCCGGTCGGTTGTGTTACACAAGAAAACTCCTCAAGATCAAAGGTCAAGATTTGTCGCAAACTGGCTCCAGTCGATTGTGAGACTTCAGGTAGGTCAGTCAGGCCATTCTTCATCCAACTTCCCTCAAGGTTTCTCCCTTCCTTCCTATCAGACATTATCCAGCAGGGTAAGATGCTTTGGTTCTCTGGGCGGGAGCCGATTCGTGTGCTGGCAGCTCCTGCGTCGATATTAGAGGGCAGATATCGTGGTCATCTTCCTTCATGATAATGTCGGCGTCCCTTGTACTTCATCACTGGCCAGCGTGATAATCAGTTCACCTAGGTGCTCCTCTCGAGAGCCAGCCTCCTCCGCTCTATACTTGCGCCTAGCATCGCCACCATCCGCGCATCGTAGCTTTCCAACGCTCGCATAGACCATCAACGCCCGAGCTATGCCTTGACCACCGAGAACATGGTCGTGAATTCTAAGAACGGGTAGTAAAGGAGAGTAAGAACAGGAAAGGATCGTCATCATTTCGATTGTTGCTGAAATGGGGAAAGCGAGGTGGAAGTCGAGAGGTCGAGTCTAAATCGTAGTGTGGAGTCGTAAGTATGGGTGGTGGAGGTTCCAGCGAAGGTGGCCAGCAATATCGACTTGGGTTGAAGGCCTCGAGAATCAGCTAGTACAGAAGACCGAACGCAACATGCGTGCGTGGTTGCGTAAAGAACGACGTGGTTGAAGCACAGCATGTCACTAGGCCATGGTCGATTGCTTGGAATCTCGATCCGGATTCCGCACCTGGGATCAAAGTTAGTCATGTTCCAACGGCATTTTCGCTCAACATACCTGCAATATCCTTCTTGTAAAGTCCCTCTCATCAGCAATGCTGCCAATGCTCTGTCGGGCATGTGAGTAGATGGATGGGTCGAGTCGTTGGTCAGTCGAGGACTTGTCCGACGCCGCGGTGCCGATGAAGGAGCTCACAGCCGCATTACGACGGTGCTCTTCTTCGATCTCGCGATTTCGCTTGTGTCTCAAGTACAGCAGAACGCCGCCTACGATGCCGGCAAGACCAACAACACCGACGACAACTCCCACCGCAATGGCGACCTTGTTAGAGCCACCGGACTGCTTATCTTGGTTGGCAAGAGCTGCTGCAGACTGAGTTACCACGACCGTCTGACCAGGCTGAGTTACAACCGCGGGCTGAGTGCTGGTTGAGCCAGAACCCGCGGTACCTTGGGGCGAAGATGAGCTGGTACTCGATGTGCTGTTGGGGGCTGTCTCGACGTCTCCAGTCAATCCGGTCAGATAGACCTGCCAGTACCCAATCCCACCGCAGGTTGATAACCCGTAGCCAGCGCACACGGTGTTGCATTTATCTCCATCAACCTCTTGGTCCAAAGCAGGTATTTCATCGCCACAATAGCAGGTCGAGCCTCCTGTGATGGCCATGACAGGCTTGTTCAGTTCCGTACATTGTGTCTGGCAGTATCCTGAACTTTGAAAGTCGTAATTTCCTTGAACTGTCAGAGGGTCGGGGTGGTTGTAGCAGCCCAATGTTGTAATGGCCTTGGGTGCACCCGTCGCAGTGGATCCTGAATCGTCCTGTGCAGCCACCGGCGAGGCAAGAAGAGCGACAGCGGAAGTCAGGGCGACGGCGCGTAGTATCGACCTAGTCATTTTTTGGATGTGATGTTTGCTTCCTCGAAACAAGTAGAAAGTCAGGTAAAAGTCAAGTCTCGACAAAGGCGCGACTTGGAATTCGTTTGAGGATCAAGTGAGTGACGGTAGCCGATCTCAGATCTGCTGATGAAGATTTCAGTCAAGAAGTTGACGAGGAATGTTGTGCACTGTTCTGTCAGGTCAGGCGTGTGACAGTTCGTGTAACCATTCGACCTTGGATGCGCCTTTTGCAGGTTGTTTGTGGTGCTCCTTTGTTGTCCCTCACAGCAGTGACCCGCACTGCTATTTTCCGCCTGCTCTTTTGTTCACCTTTCACAGCCAGACCCCGGATTATACATAGAGGGTTGGAAGGAAGTCCCTGAGTTCTGGTCTGGATACGTTTGGAAAGGTCGAGTGATGTGTTGGCTAGGGAATGCAGCTCGTGTTTCAGACCTGATACACAGACGCCCCTGAGTTCTGGACCGAAGCAGCAATGATGGCTTAACGAGTGTGAGAAGGTAGCCTTGGCTGAGACGTGACCCCAAATGTCGACTTGTCGAGAAATCAATGCGTTGTCTATGTGTAGGTGCCTCGATGGCGATGTGGTGAAAGTTGTTGCTGGTGACGGGCAAAGGAATGTGTGGTGAGAAGGAACTGGAAGAAGTCACAAGACTGTGGGATGGGAAGCTGCGTGAAGGGAGCACGGCCGCAGGAGACGCTAGGCACCCGGCTTGTTGTTACAATTGGTCCGTGAACGTGTGCGCAAGGATAAAGTGTCTTGAGAATCGTGCTTGGTGGGGCCTCAAAATGACAACGCGACAGCTGAGTTTTGGTGGCAGAAGCTCCGCTCGGAAATTGCCTGTCAAACGCCCATGATCGAATTGGGGAGGAGACCCAAAACCGCCAAGCGCTTTCAGGCCTAGAGGCGGTTTTAAGCGTTCTTCTTGTTCTTTTAGCCAGGCACAGTCTCGGCCCACCTTCTCTGCCACAAGCAATCTGCTCTTTATCGGCCGCCGACGCCTATCTTCGCAATTCACGCAAGTGGACTGAAGCCTCAATGCTTAATGCTATTTTTGACTCAGGTCAATATCGGTTACACAGGGTGAAGGGACCAGGGAATGGCTACTGTGTACACAGTATTACTTGTGCACCAGCTCGTTGCACGGACTCATGATTCTATCGTGGCCACTGACGCAGGGATGGACTGCGAACCTCTGCCGTTGCTCTGGGTAAAAGCTCTTTCCGCCATGTTCCTAGGATCAGCGTCCTGCCGAGGCTCCAAATGCACCGTTCCTGCATTGGTGCCCCAGGACCTTGCATGACATCCCGCGCCCTGATTTGCTCGTATGTGGGTCAAGTCCACACTCTGATACACCCGGCTTGGAGGGCTGCTTGGTGGCTTACCCAATGGTGCCGAGGGCTTTTGGCTAGAAGCACAGCGAGACAGGTCGTTTGCTTCACAATTTTTGCACAGCAAGAGCACCCGACAATTCGCGGCGTCTGCTGTCATTGCGTCCGATTCAGCATTGCCCCCGATCGGGACGGAATTCTGACGCCTTGGTGTGGACCTGGGATCCTGGCTCCCTGGTCGGATGGCGTTCTGTGGCTGCGAGGCAGTGCATGCAGGCTGATTTCTCTGCCTCCTTTGTACCGAAGACCGCATGTGCATCTTCGAGATATGTGAGCCAGACATGTGCACATCAGAATCAGCCTGCCTGGGTAGATTGCAGCATTTCCGATGATACTCCGTACATATCAATTTGATCAGGAAGAAGCTCCCAAGAAGATGGTGCTAGCATACCCTTCCAGTACCAGCTTCGTGTCTTTACTGTGTCGTAAGAGTTCTGCTTGAAACAGCATCACATCTTGTCCGAGGGCCCAAAGTACTGTCTAAGTAGCAAAAGGTATAATTCTGAGCACCCTGCTGGTCCAGTTGCGGAAGAAGTATACAGTGCTGCGTACTGCCTAACGTACGTACTGCTTATTGTCCGCAGTAATCGCTAGGAAATCCTTACTGAGACATCGCTCTTGGGTCTGACCCGCACCATCCTTTTGTGGCGAGATCTCATGGGCATTATTCTTTCCTTCAAGCCCTTACTGGGACTATTTATCTCGAAGGTCCACCACTTCAAACTCCATTCCTTTCGCCTCCACCACGTGTCCCGGCCGAAGCGCGTCGGTGTAGATATTGTCCGCGTCATGGGGATGAAATAATCCGGGCCGCTCGCAGCTGAGGATCGCTTTCTTGCCAGGAGGATCTGTCAGCCGATACGCTCCCCAATCGCCACCATGTGTAGTGTCGCCCTTGCTGGGTGCGCAGACGATGGCGATGCTCTCCGCCAGCATTACCTGATACCCAGCATGAGTATGCAGGTCTCTGCTGCTCATGAAACAGGTTTGAGTCGGGTGGGTGTGAATCCAACCAAGAATCATGAGGTCCTCCGAATCCACATAATCAAAAAGCTGCGACTCATTGGTCATTTCGCACGTATCCGAGGTAGCCGTTTGCGATGGAATGATGAGCCTACTGATGAAGAAGGCATTGGCAATGAGAGTGCCCGCCAAGAACCCGCATGTTTCCAAGTTGGCCAGCGTGTTCTTGTACGCCAATCGCAAGAATGTCATCCGCAATGTGGGTGGGAGGAAGATGGTACGCAGTGGCGTGCCATTTTCCAGGTACGCTGCTGGAGCAAAGATGTGTGAAGGCTCAGGTGTCTGTATCCTCGTAGTTGTTGGCTCTGGTACTTTTTCGGGCCGACGCGGAAGTGCACCAGCACTGCTACTCGGTTTCGGAGGCAACGCCGGCGGAACACCAGCAACATCCCTCTGAGCTCCGAGAGGCGAAGTATGAAATCCTTGTGCCTGCTGCGCTTGATGAGCAGGAATGCTCGGGTAGTTATACGTGGCAGGCCTCGCTGGTGACTGCACATCAGCACCATCCCGAGCACTAAACGAAGTCCTCCCCTCAACTCGAGCCCGAATTTCCTGCAGTCTCTGAGACAGGTCATCCCCGTCGTGGCCCAAGGCCTGGCCAGCTTTCCGATTCGCAGCTCTCCTAGAGATTTCTTTCTGGGCTATCTGGACAGCGAGCTCTTTGTTTTCGTGTGCTTGAAGTCTTCGGATTCTTTGTTCGGGTGCCGGTTGGGGACTTTGAGGTTCATCTGTATGCTGGTATCGGGTCTGTGCAGTTCTTCTTGCCTCTCGTTCTTTGATGAGCTTGACATAGCGCTCGTACCTCTCGTTGATCCGAGGCTTCAGCAAGTCGAGGACTTTAAAGTTTTGGTTCACCTCCCTCTCGGCTTGTTTCAGCAGCAGCTTGTTTGTTTTGTCTCTGGCCTGCGGGTGGGCCGGCAACTGAGAAAGAATCAAATGTGCGTGGCGGAAGAGCAGGAGATACGTTGTCTCTTCGTCGCCTTCGCGAATATACACCTGTGCCTGCGCAACAAGTCAGTGCCGAGTGTAAGACTTGTGAGACCTGTGCTGCCCACCTCTTGTAGCATTGCTTGGGCGGACCGGAGCCAGTATCGTAAAGGTATCTGGGCGTCATATTCGTAGTCCTGTGCCGCTTTTGTGATCTGCAGGACGTTTCGAGGAGGGTGAAGCGAGCCCATGTTCACTTGAAGAGACATCACGTTCGCGGCATCAATCAGCTAGACTTTGAGGGATCCATGCGGGGGAAGACGTTGACCATGACACGGCCAGATCGACGATTGAGCTCCCCCGGCAAGCAAACCGTGAGCAGAGACGAACCTCTTTGACCGCCGAAGAGCAGGCACGCGAAGCTGCGCAAGTCGAATAGTTGAGTGACACCTGCATGGTGAGAGGCTTGGGTGAGTGCGACTTGATGCGACGGAAGCCGCAATTCAGGCGCCGCTCAATTCACCACCCCCACCTACACGAGGAAAGTCTTCCGAGGGGGAAGGTCTCCCGAGCTGCATCATGCAAACGCCAGTTTGCCGTGGAGATTCTATGCTCACTATCGCGTGTGCACCCGAACTCTTGCCCAGCATTTTGAGACCCGATGATCCATAAAGCCAGAACGACTCCTCGCTCAGCAGAAAACATGAGATCTCTACATCATGGATTCGTTGAATAGCGGCTGCCTAACCTGAGCACCATCGCGTATGACTGTGCCCATGACACTCGGTCCTCGACGTGCTCGCACCACTTACTCGGGCACAATAGCTCCCATACTCCTCCAGAACTCGCACCTGTAGCCCCTGCCGGCCTCCCAGGTCCAAGCATCTACGAGGGCGATATCGTTGAGTAGGCCAGGACTACCAAACTCCGTGATGTTATGACCGATTTGCGTGATGTTCGCCGAGAAGGGTGTTCCTCCAGTCTGAAGTACCATATGGCATTAGCTATGGGGCCCGGGCATAGAAGAAGGATTGAACGTGTGCTTGCCAAGGCAAGTGGCAGTACTACTCACCTGGTTCAAATTGATCTGATATGGCGCATACATGCTAAATTGGGGCCAGTCGGTCACCGGGTTTGCCGTTGTTGAAGTTGACGAATTCGCGGCGGAAGCTCCGACGGCGACGTTGGATGGAATACTGGGGTTGTTCTTCGTGATGAAATTACCCCAGATTTGCCGGAATGCCAGGGCCAGGTCCGGCCCGATGTTTCGGGCGGCTGGACCGAAGTCTGACATTTCTGATATTAGTAACCAGAGGCACCACAACTTCTGAGGGGAAGGAGCCACGCACATCCGCTGACATCCGCACCATGCAAAGCCGGCGGGACCGAAAACTGGTATTTGTAGGATGTTCTTCCAAGGTCGTTATAGGCCATCACCATCCAATAAGAAGGGCACACGAAGGTCGTCTCGGCGTAGATGTTCTGCAGGCCAAGTCAGCCTCGGGCGCCCCGATCACACGCACTCGACGGACAACGCACATCTGCTCTTTGTTGCTGTCCCGTTCCGACCGAGCTTTGGTTCAGCGCTGACGCGCCAGACTCCCCAGACGTCCCATATAGAGGCGCGGCTGTATCCGTCGAGTCGTTCGAACTAGGATAGTATAGTAGGACTTTCGCGATGTCATCGTTTGTAAAAAGAGGAAATGTCAGTTGCAACCAAGCAACAAGGTCTTCCTCTGTGGTAACGTTCTGCGGAGTGAAGGATGGTCCTTCATTGGCATTGTTGCCAACCAGCGCGTTTAGTCCGTTCACCTTTCTGCGCAAGAGCTGCCGGCTGGGTAGATCTTGGATGAAGACGCCGTCGGTGCTGGTCCACGTGGTCAGTGAAAGAATCAGCGAGGGGCTGGAGAAGTGCTAACGTACACCGGCAGGAATGCCCACGTCCCATAGTTTCCGGATTGTGACATTGTGGCGCTGGCATTTATCAACGTGTCTGTATCCTTGCTTACCAAGCATTCGAAGATGGTCTGCGGCTGAGCACCATATGGGAGGCCAGGGGGACAGCCAGCTGCAGTTGCAAAGGCATAGTAAGCCTGGGAAGGAATCCAGTCTTTGTAGCCGTATTGCATGGGGAGGTAGGGCGATGCGGCGATAGTCTAGACCCAAATCTGGGGTAAGAGAAGGCCTTGACCAGATCCTGTCGGTGCAAAAACTCACGTTGACGAAAAGCGAAGTCCCCAAGCTCCCACCATACGCCATGTCCTGTAGCATGACCGAGCCGCCGCCTATGGAGATCAGCTAGGGAAAAGAGCGATTCTGGGCATATGGAGTAGTACCAGCGCTTTCGCCAGAGATGGTGACCTGAGAAGCATTGCCGCCAAAAAGGCTGATGTACGATTGTACCCATTGCAAAGCGAAATGCTACAGATGGTAAGCAAATGATGGCCAATATCTAGTGAGACTTCACCTGATCAAGGAGACCAGCATTAACTACCCCATATCGGAAGACTTCGTCTGAGGAAAGAAATCCTAGTGCAGCGAGCTGGGCGCGAATGAGAATGATGTCCACAACCAGTGACAAGGAGAGGAGGCCAAACCCGATATTGGATAGCAACTCCAATAAAACTGTTGTTGTTGGCGTTAATGATTGCGGAGAGGTCCTGTCGTCCGTTTCCGCCACCGTAGCCTCCTCCGTGTATCCAAACAAGGACCGGAAGGGAAGATGCGTTCGCAGGTGCATAGACGTTCAAGAACAGACAGTCCTCGTCCGCGCCAGTCTGATTGACCGAGTGGACAGAGTAAGAGGCATCAGGACCCTGCGGACATATTGGGGCGAATGAGCTAGCATTGATGGCCGAGGAACGATTCTGTTCTGGGGGCTGGGGCGCTTGCCATCGATTGGAGCCCGTTGGGGGTGCCGCAAAACGGATTCTGAGTATTCCGTCAGCTCTAACGTACAAGATGACTCGAAACCAGATGAGAACTTTTACCCTCTCCAAATATTCACTCCAGATGTACTATTGGAGGTGCCTTCATATATCTCATAGCCAAGATCAATACGCAAGGGAGATCCTGAACTGGCGCTCTGGCGAGCTTCCAATGCTTTCAAGTAGGGCCTGGGATTGTAGGCTTGGCCGGTCAAAGCTTCACAGGCCAACAAAACGAAAATGCTCTGAAAAAGAGTTCCGACAAGCATTGTGGCTTTGTCTTGAGGACTTCAGACGCATCCAAGAAATGCTTCGACGAAGCTCGACATCCTTACGCTGACTTCCCTCAGCTTTTCTAGACGCTACGGCGGGGTCCGCAAGGAGCCCGGTACCGACGCTGCCGTTATCGCTACTCCGAATCATCGTGGATACAGTGTAGAAATATGCCGTTTGCCCGAGTCTGTCGCCTTGAGAGAGGGGAAGGCGTCCAAAGCCTCTCCGGCAATTGAATCGACCTGTCATGTGAATGGCGCATGCATGCAGAGAGAATCTGGGGACGGGACTGGTAAGTAGCCAGTCGTGTGTTCGTCGGATCTACGTCACCAAGTCCGTCTTCCAACTTTGCCTACCTGCAGGTGTCAGGTTATTTAGCCTGTCCGGAGACCTAGAAAGGAGAGGGGTAGCATCGAAGTCCGCAGGTGCCGAGAAGCCGGTGCAGGCCGGTACACGGCTCGGACAGGGCACAGCCAATTTGTGTACAGGCTCAAGAAGACTGTTTGAGTCATGACGAGCAGTAGAAAGGAGCCTTTCGAAAGTGAGAAGGAAGTCCAAAAACGAAGTCAGCAACGAACAAAGATCGTTAAGAAGAACAAAGTAAGCGCCAAGGTTGAGCTTATGAAGCTTGCCACGTGCCTGCCTAATTATCTCCCATCTCGGCTCCTCGCCAGATCTGCCCAGCGGCCTCCACTTCGTTACCGATACCAACCATCATCACGTGGTTCCACGCGTGACCACATACTGACGCCAAGACAGTTACACCGTCCCCTCACCACCCTCGCCTCGCTCGCTTACAGACTGTACCCACGTCCAAGGTATGCCATGCTCACATTGTCGAGCTCGAATTATGCGAGATCTTCTCAATCTCCTAACACTGTAGCCGCCAGATGGCCGGAAGATGGACTCTGAACCCCTTTACCTTGAGTATGAATAACTAGGTAGGCTTCCAATATCCAGCGCACCTTATTAGGCTCGTGCTTAAAGCAGCTCATAAACACTTGTGTAGAGATATGCTTCCTCAACCCTGAGAAAAGTGGTGGTTATTGCCTTGCCTTCGTGACTCTATGGCTTTTTCAGTCCAATTCCTCAACCCTGGGCAACCCTTCCGCCATTGTCCGTACTCCACTTGGCCCTGGCTGACCATCATCATCCTCGTCGCTGTCAGCCTCGTCTCGGGGCATCTTCAGCCCCATCAAGCCCATGAGGTTTCCACCAGGTCCAGCTTTGCCAGCCTGGGCCTTGAGACTCTCTAGCAAATTTCTAGCCAGATCGATGTCTATCTCGTTGTCGATGTCGTCGTCTGACGAGAGTTCGTACTCTTCATCGGTAGCTGCGACTCGGTCTCCTCCCACTTGTGATTTCGAGTGTGCGATCGCCTTCTGCTTCCCAGTGGGCGTCTCAGAAGAGCCTAAATTCAGAGCGTCATGCCCTGTCAGCTCAGCTCCGATTTGCTTCATGAACGTCTGGATATTCTCGTCTTCCTCTTCGTCCTCTTCCACTTTCACCACGTTTGTTTCTTTTCCTTCAGGCATGGGACGCAATCCCGACCGTACCGCGGGATCCTCAGCACCGGGGCCTAATTTCCCCAGCATGATTTCCTGCATCACTTCGGGCGGTATCCCCATCATTTCTTGCATCATTTTGGTGAACTCGTCTTCGCCAAAACTGGCTTCTTTGTCCTCTCCTTCGTCGTCCTCATCAAGGTCGTCATCGTCATCGTCGAGATCGCTATCATCCAGGCCTGCGCCGCCCATACCAGCCTTATCATCGTTCAAAAACTCCTCAAACTGCTTCACGATCCTCTGGAGGTTTTCTTGTGCTGCCTTGTCACCAAAACTAGGCTTCTTGCCCTTCGTGTCAGATTGGCCCTTTCGACCTCCTAGCTCATTGTCCAGATCTTCGAAGTTGATATCTAGCCACTTTTCATCGTCTTCTCGCTCTTCCCATGTCTCAATTTCTTCGTCTAATGGCAAGGGTTCATCGCCGGATGCGATATCGTCAAGAACCAATTTCATCTCGCGTATCTCTGGTCGGTCTTGGTGATGAGAATCTGTGACCAACATTTCAAAGCCGCAGGTGACTTTCATACCCGTCTCAGCGGCGGCGTAGGCCTTTGTATCAGTTTTCAATGGCAGTTTGCCTGCGAAAACTGCGGGTGGTGGAAAATCCTGGGACTTGATCTGCGCATATGCCACGCGTGGGAATTTGACACTGACAGTAACAAAGTCCTGAGGGGGAAAAGCCATCGTGTCCTCGTTCTCCTTGCTTTGTAGCGGCTTGAGAAGCGGCTTGAGAGCGATCGGGTCTCTGAGATAGAAGGCTTCAACGGCCGGCGCAATGTACGCGGGCTTTTGATGAAGCAGATATGCAATCTTCCGGGGTACTGTGATCATGGCGTGGTGCGTATTCTGCGCGATCTGTGCCGGATAGTTTCGAGTTCTGAAAAAGGCCTCTTCCTCGATGCTGATCGAGTGCATTATTCTTCTGGGTTCCGACAAGATGATGCCGCGGGCCTGTTCGAGGGTCAATTTCTCTTCCGTCCGCTTCGAACTTCGTGCCGCAGCTGCTGGCTTGATGATCTTGAGCTGGCCATTGTTGATCCAGACGCGATTTTCTGCCACGTCCGGCTCGAGCCACGACGGCAGAGTGCCAGATGCCTCGATCAGCAAGAACTCGCCATCGCTGTCCGTGACTTTAACCCATAGATCGGGGAACTTGATGGTCAATTCACGCAACAACCAGACAATGACCCATTCATCTTCCACTGAGTCGCCATATTCTGTCTGTCCACGCAAAAAGCTCAGTCCTAAAGAGGGCGTTAGTCTATTCGCGACTGTCCTTGTCATAACGGTACAGACCTCACCATCCTCTTTTTGAAGCTCAAGCATGAACTTCTGCCGCTGCCAAATGTAGTCTCTCAGGTGTTGGCGTTGTAGCTCAGTGGCGTATTTTTGCACGTCTCGCAACCGTCCTCGTAGGTCAGAGTCGCCGCCCACGTCATATGATGGCGATATGATGTAGAGCGAGTATTCGATACAGTCGTCCGGTAAGGTAGGCCTCGGTATGGGGTGAAAAGTCGAGCGAAACCACGCAACATCTTCCTCGGTTGGCGGCATTGTGATGTTGGACGAGAGGTTGTTTGACGAACGGCAGGCGACGGAGGAGGAAATGAAATTGATTGAGGAGCGCGCAACACAGAGCCTTTTTGGTGGGTGCGGAGCCTCGGAAGATTCAGCCTTATTGATTCAGCCTTATCCGCCAGAGTGACGTAGGCCGGAGAAGCAGCTCACCAGGCCTTGTACGGTTTAGTGCATAAATGCTAGAACTGCCAAGCCTCGACTTGACCATTCCCCTTTCGACTAAACAACAACATTGAGCCTTCGAATGTCTCGTGTATTTGACTTGTGCAAGCTTGTGGTACAACAATATGTTTACGTGTTGGATTTGATATTGCTTGGTGCAGGTCCAACCTTTGAGTGTTTGCTACAGTATCTCGACTTTTCGTACACCATGGAGAACTACATCAATACACCGCACGCGACCGATGCCTCCCACGTTAGCGACCGCTTCGACCGTCTGGGCGATATGTCGCCGGAGAAGTCCTTCCACGTCCCCAATGGGAATCACGACTTGCTCAGCCAGATGAAGAACATCAAGAACCAAGGTGCCAGTCTCAAGACCCCGCGGCTTGGTCTGCGGGATCCTCTGCGCCTGGTGCCAAACGGCAATCCAGCTCGAGCTGAATTCACACCACTCATGCAGAGTGCTACCAAGAAGAATATGGCTCGCCGCCTTTCTAGCAGGAAGCCTAGTGCCACGCCTTCGTATCTCAGAGACGGTCGGACCCCGGGAGCGAGACTCAGTGACCTCTCGCATCTTGCCAGTGAACACACCACAAGCTCAGCAGGAAACGCACTGGACAACACCCCCATGCCTCAACAAATTAGCAGCAGTGCTCATAGTACGCCACTCGCTCAACTTCCCGGACGCGATGCGGCTGGGCTTGTTAATGACGGGAACATGATGACATTGCGAGAGCAGGAAAGCATTATCGACAAGATCGAAAAGGAAAACTTCGGCTTGAAGATGAAGATACACTTCCTGGAAGAGGCACTGTCCAAGCGAGGGACTGAATTCAACCACGCTGCGCTCAGAGAAAACACAGACTTGAAGGTCAACAAGATCACAATGCAGAGGGAGTTACACAAGTTCAAGAAACATATTGCTCAAGCTGAAAAAGACGCGGAAGTCTACCGATTACAACTTGAAGAATTCAAAGAACGAATCAGACGGAAGCAGGTGGACGAAAGCATTCGAATCGAGTTGGAAAGTCTACGCGCCGACGTTAAAGCGAAAGACAAACAGATCCAACAGTTGGAAAGCCAGAAAGATCGTGCCGAAGACCAAGAGCAATCGACCATCAAGAAGCTAAGGGATGAGATAGAGGATCTGCAGGCCGACCTTCGAGAGAAGGACCGAGCAATAGATGATCGGGAGGACCAAATTGATGCTTTCAAAGCAAAGGCCAGCAAGGAGTCCACTGCTGCTGCTGAGGTTGAAGAAGAGCTGGAATCGGCCAGGGAAGAAATTGAAGAGCTCAAGCAGAGCTTGGAGCGTGTAAAGTCCGAGGCGCAAGATGCAAAGGAGGCCCAGGAAGATGCATTGGACGGAAAGCGCAAGGCCGAGAAAGATTTGGACGAGCTTCGGGATGAGATGGCTAACAAGTCTTACACGACCAAAGGGTTAAGCAGACAGCTGGAGGGTAAGGCGAACAAGCTCGAGGACGATCTCCAAGAACTGCAGGAGCGACATGGTTTGCTCAAGGCCGAACTTTCCCAGAAATCGGAATCAGAGCGGCACCTGCGAGAAAGGGTACGGGACCTCGAACGAGAAGGGGCGTCCGACCACCGCAAATGGCAACAAGACCTCGAGCTATCACAGCAGCAACGCGACACCTTTGAACGAAAACTGATGAACATGACGAAACAGCTCGAGACTGTCCAACGGGAACTGCAAATCAAGAGCGACGAGAAGGATCTTCTTCAGACCCGCCATGATGCTCTGACCAAAGAGTCTGCCGACTTGCAGAAAGGTCTCGCCCAGTCCCGGAAAGCTATTCAAGAGCTCGAGAACGCTCTTGATGTTGAAAAACAGCGCGCTGCACAGAACGATGGTGCCCTTCGGTCACAGCACAAGCAAGAACTCGACCACCTGAACGAACAAATCGACCAACTGCACCGTGAGGTGAATTCAAAGGGACGCGACCACGCCGCCGACCTTGAAGAATGGGAGTCGCAGAAACGAACACTGGAAGCCGCCTCTCAGAGAGCCGAGGAGAGAGCCAGCGGTCTCCAACGCACCGTGGACAAGCTTCAAGAGTCGCAGGGAACGATGAATGGAAGGGAAATGAAACTGCAAGCTGCTCTTGAAAGCGAGAAGCAACGTCATCAGCAAGAGGAGAAGGTCCTGTCCAGGCAGATTGAGGAACTTCAGCAAGACCTTGCAAACAAGCGGACCGCATCTGACGAGAGCCGACTAGAGCTGAAAAATGCTAGGGAGGAACTGCGCATTTCGATCCGTGAACAAGCTGCCCTCAAAGAAAAGGTGGCCGAGCTGGAAGAGGAGATCGAAGTGCTGCAAGCAGATATCGAGCAGGAACACGAGTTCGCCGAGAAGCAGCAACAAAAGTATTCCAGCAATGCCGATGCCCAGATACAGAAGATGCGGCAAGAGAAGCTGTCGCTGCAAGAAGAGCTTTCGAGTCTCCGCAGCGAACTGCAGAACGCGCACATTGCTATGGAAATGCATGAAAAGGAGCGCGACGAATTGGAAGCGAGAGTTCAGGAGGCGCAACAGAAGTCCAATGATGACACATTTAATGTCGACCAGGAGAAGCGAGAGCTGAAGCGCCTGAAAGTCAAGCTCGAGAAAGACATTGCAAGACTAACCTCAGAACGTGACAGCCTGCAAGAGGCTAATCAGAACCTTGAGGATGAGATCAACGCCGAGCTTGAGCGTGCCAGCAGCGAAGAAAACCGGCTCCATACAGAAATCGACTCGCTTCGGAATCAAAAGGTCTCTAACTCCGAGACCAGGGACAGGGATCTGCTCGCTGCTAAGAATAAGGTCTCCCGTCTAGAGGCACGTATTGCAGAACTGGAGGGCTTGCTGGACAACCAATCCAAGGTGGTGACCTCGCCTGGTGCAGACATCTCTGGCCTTAAGCATGATTTATCTGAAGCGCGGGAAAAGGAAACGGCGGCAGCAAAACGAGAAACAGATTTGAAGGCAGCCAATCGAGATCTGAAGATGAGAGTCAACGACCTCGAGCGCGACCTGCACGAGGCTAGACTTGCACAATACAAATCGAAGTCACCTTCTGTCTCGCCACCGCCATCTCATTCGAAGGAATTGGTCAAGCTCAGGCAGGACCTCGTTGACGCGCAAGCAGAAGTCAAGGTGCTCAGCTCGGAGAATCGGGATATGAGGCGTTCCACTCGTCGAACTTCCGCAGGCGAGGAGGAGTTAGCGACATTGCAGGCACAGCTGAGGTCGCGAACTGCTGAAATTGGATCCTTGAGCACCAAGATAGCAGAGCAAAGCGACCTGGTGGAGGATCTACAAGAGCAACTGAACCGCCTTCATGACGGCAAGGATGAAAGGCAACGTGCCTCATCAGAACTCCGCAAGCGGGATAAGCAGATCAGCGACCTGAAAGCGCACATCAAGCGCTTGCAGGGGGAGCAGAAAGATGTCAACGATCTCTCCATGCGCCTCTCGACTCGTGACAGTGAAGCCTACGAAATGAAGCAACATCTCCGCCGCCTCCGAGAGGAGCGCAGTGTGGCCAACAAAAAGGCGGAAATGGTTGAGAACGAGCTTGAGGTCTTGCAAAGCAAGTACGAAGACATGCTCGAACAGCTCACCTCGGGCAAGTCAAGTAAAGACGAGGTTCGCGCCAAGGAGATGAAGGGTCTCATCAAGGAGATTATCTGGTTAAAAGCCAAGTGTCGTCGGGAAGAGCGATTGAGAAAAGATTTGGCATGGAGCAAAGCCCTGGTAGAGCAGAATGAGGCAATGAGGGTTGAATGGTATGTGTATAACAGGCGTATTCTGTGTCTGGACATTTTACTGACAACCTTTCCAGCAATCAGGTCGATCTTCGCATTCTCGGGGAGATGGGCGTGTCTCTTGATAAGCGGAAGTACGAGGTGAAGCTCAAGCCAGTGCAGAAATTCCGTGCTGGAGTGTTTATGGTCATTGCCGCCATTCGCATGAGCAATATGGAAGAGCAATGGCGAGAAGCGAGATTGCTAGGAGAAGAGTTGAAGCTGCTGAGGACGAGGCAAGCGAAGCCTCGAACCAGACTTCGTGCTTTGGTGGTCTGAGCGCCACACACGGTTTTGGATGAGGCACGGTCTTGGATATCATCATGTTTGGTCTAGACGTTGCGCTGGTCGAGTCTACAATCAGGATTAACGACGTTACGACTGGGATGCGGTAATCATCAGAATCAAGACGTTGAACTATTCTGTGCGTATCGGAGAAGGCCGTGTTTCTACCCTCGTTTCGTCATTGACACATCCTCCTTCCCCCTCTCGGATGGCTATATCGACGGCAGAAGTCAGACTTGAGCCGGAGGCCCGTAGAGTCTCTGCCGGTTTGTTGAAGTCGATATTACCTGATTGATTTTTCCGACGTTAGTTGTACCTCACGGTCGGCAGCTAGACTAATTTCGAGGACTCAAACGACGACACGCCGTACCATGGCGGGCAACCCAAACTACGACTCGACCGGCGTCGAGCACTACTCGATCCCAGACTTCCACTTCACCAACGGCACGACTTTGCACGACGTGCGCGTGGCGTACCGGTCCTTCAACGCCTCGTCGACAAAGGGCGCGGTGCTCATCCCCACATGCTACTCCGGCCTAATCAACACGACTTTGACATTCACGTCGCCCCCCTACGCCTCGCTCGCGCCCTACCACGTCATCGTCGTCGCGATGCTGGGCAACAGCGAGTCCGCCAGCCCGAGCAACAAGCCGTTCTTCCCTGGGCCGGGCGAGCTGCGGTACGAGGACGTCATCAGGGCACAGCACACTTTACTCACTTCCCACCTGGGTATCCCCCACCTCGAGGCCGTCGTCGGCTTCAGCATGGGCGGCCAGCAGGCGTACCATTGGGCCGTGCTGTACCCCGACTTCGTGAAGCGGGCCGTGGCGATCTGCTCGAGCGCGCGCACTTCTTTGCACAACTACGCGTTCCTCGAGGGTCCCATTGCCGCGCTGACGAGCTCGATCGACTACATCGCGTGGAAGGCCATGAAGGCCAAGGTCGCCAGTGGGGAGCCCGTGGGCGTGCACCTCAAGGAAGTGCTTCCCAAGACGGGGCTCAAGGCGTTCGCGCGCGCGTACGCGGCGTGGTTGACTTCGCCCGCGTGGTTCCGCGAGAGGCTGTTCACCACCATGGAGGGCAACCCGGGCAGTGTGGAGGCGTGGATGCGCATGCGCGAGGAAAGCGTGCTGATTTGGGACGCCGAGGACCTGCTCGTGCTTGCGCGCATGTGGCAGATGGGGGATGTCGGGGCGGTCGCTGCCACGTCAGAGTCAGTCACCACGCAGACGCAACTCGGCGGCAGAGTCCCCGACGACGGCGCGTTCGAGGCGGCCCTTCGTGGCATCCAGGCAAAGGTGCTGCTCATGCCGTGTCGGACGGACCAGTATTTCCCGCCCGAGGATTCAGAGGTCGAGATGAAGTTCCTGCAGCGTGGCACCCTGGCTGTCATTGAGAGCGTGTGGGGCCACGTTGCTGGTGGGGGGTTGAATCCTGCGGACACGGCCTTTATGAATGAGAGGATTGCCGACTTCATGCAGACGGGGTGAGGAAGAGGAAATGAGTGGAGGCGGGCCAAGGGTGTGCATGCTAAGGCAAGGATGTTTACCTACAGTAGTATGTACCCTGTAGGTGGCCTACGACATGGGAGATGGGACAACCAAGGTGAGTGACTGACTGACTGCTCGCCGGCCGCTTAGCTGGACAAATTACTCCCTACAGGCGTATGATTGGGCTTTGACAGCGCTATCATCGCTCGAGGCACTCGGTCTGGCCCCCAAGAATATGAGGCTGTGAGGGTATGAACTTTCAAAGTGAGAATACTTGCACGCTCTGTACTCCAGACGAGGACTCCATATGCATATATCGACACATTCCATTTCATGACGCTCAAACCAGCACGCCTTCCCGCATCGTCTCCAAGGTCTTCTTCCCAATCCCGCGCAGTCTGGCAAGATCGTCCCAGCTTTGCATCACGAATCCATCATCAGAGTCCCCCGTCTGTTCGTTGAGATACTCTACGATTCCCTCGGCACGCTTCGCACCCAACCCGTGGAGCGTCTTGATCTGTGCGACGTCCCGCGTGTTGACTATGTGGAGGAGATATTTTGTCCGTGGCGTGAGCGCGCCAACTACCCTCTCCGGGCCTTGTGAGCTGAGGGGATCGGGCGAGGATATTCTAGCTTTCCTCTTCTGCTGCTGCTTGATCGGCTTCTTGGTTCGTGAACGGTCGGTGGGCTTGTCTTCGTCCCCAGAATCATTATAGGTTGATTCACAGCCTTCGTCCTGGTAGCTCCCATCTTCATCGTCCGCTCGTGGGGCGTTTGCCTTGTCGACTGTTCTTGACATGGTCGGTATCTGCTCCGACTTCTCAGCAGAGTCGACATCTTCTCTTCTCTTCGCCGCCAATTTCTCCCGCAAGCGTTCGATCTTGCCCTTCAGCTTCTCGTTGTCCGGAAAGTACGGCCGGGCGAGTTCGTACATCTTCAAAGCACTGCCATCCTCGCCTCTGGCTTGATGTTGCTTGGCCATCAGCAGGTAGCTTAGACCCTCGGCTCTCTCGCCGTCCTGACCCTCCAGTCGTTTTTCGATGCTGTCTAGCCGCCGTTGAACTTCTTCGGAAACGGCTTTCAGCGGCTGAGGGTCGGGGGCATTCATGGCACGAGCGGCAAGCACTTCGGACACCTTCTTCTCAACCAGGGCTTCGATTGATGCTTTATCCATGCCCGCCGGCTGAGGTTCTGGAGCGCGCCGGATGAAACTTGGGGTTGGACGAGGCAGCTTTGCCGAACGACCGGATGCGAGGAATGCGGCATCTGCAGTGCGCTTCAAGGGCGACGACTTTTGAGGGACTGGTCGCGTGGTGGCCGGCTTGTTGCGGTCCGAGTAGACGGCAAAAGCTTTCTGCGGCTTCTCGTTCTTCGTGGCTGCATCACGGTTGGCGGCGAGGTTGACATTGATGCTGTTGGCCAGGGGTCGTAACGGTTGGCGCTGGATCGTAGGACCACCTACTGGGGCGACCGGTCTGGGTGGGCCTTTGAAAATGGGCTCATTCTCCACCTCCCTAACCTCAATCTTCTTTGTTCGGTGGGCAAAGTTGAGTGAGCTGAGGGTGTCAAGGTGGTATGCTTTGACGGGAGCCAAGTTGAGAATCATGACCGTGAATCCATTGTTCTGGCCCAGTGACAATATTCTAGTCATCTTCGACTCTCTATAGGGGATCCGCTGTTGCTTTTTGCTGATAGCTTCGACACACTGCGCAAGGACGAAAAGAGACTTGTTGATGCTGGCAGACTCGACCATTCTGTCCTTGCCATTGCCAGTTCTTCGATTATCCTCGGAGCCAGCAAGGTCGATGGCTGACGCGGTGCTTACTCGAGTCTCGGTCGGAGTCGTGATTGTGACTTTGACACACAGAATTGCATGCGACCGAGATGAGTGAGCATTGAGTTTTGTGGCGCCCGTACTTCGATTTGCGTTGGCTTTGTCGTAGAGCACCTCAAACTCCTTCAATGACGAGCACGGCACCTCAGTCAGGCCGACAACAACAGTCTTTCCGCCCTCCGCTTCCCTGATGGGCAGCCCAGTGGGTGTTCTCTTTTCCGGCGCCTCAAACAGGTCGAACACGCGGTCATTGTAGATCTCGTAGTAGCTCATCGACACATCCACGGTTGTTACTCCATCGCCGCTCTTTTCAAGTGCTCGACTCTTTCTGTAGATGCTACTGAGCAGTCTGGGTATCATGCCTCGGTCTGCAAGCGACTTGCCACCGCGCATGGTGTGTGTCTTTCCTGTTCCCGTAGAGCCATATGCAAAGATCGTGACATCGTATCCGAGAAAGAGGTGTTTGACAGTGGGAGCGACTGCACTACGGTGTTAGTACTGGAGCTTCGTGGCGGCAGAGCTCTACACACCTTCGGCATCATAGAGGACCTGTTGTGTGGCGTCTTGTTCGTAAACGCCGTTGAACTGGAAGCTGTACTCCTCGGCAAAGTTCTTCGGATTGGGGATCTTCACGACGGTGGCCTTTCCATCTGGGCCAGGCTGGCTAGTCACGATCTGGTCCTTTTCGATTTCCGAGTTGAGCAGAGGCCGGATGCGAGCGACGACTCGGACGCTCATCTTGACCGCGGTATGGCAGCGTGTCTATGGATGGAAAGCAATAGCTGGTTGTACGTCCGGTGCGCTAGACGCAACAGCTGAGAGTGTCGAGCACTGCTGCATCATGGCGGGGACACCCGGGGGGTGGTTCCGTTGCGACGGCAACGGCTTGGCATTCAGCCTCGTGTGCCTGTCCGACCAGTTACTCCGTGGGCGCTGCCACTCTTACGACCCTGTAAACGAGATGAAAACAATAAGGACTGCACTGTAGCTGGAACCTGTCAGCTGGCATCAAAGGACCACGAGCGGGGGAGGCCGTACCCCGCCGAGGCGGCAAACATTTCACTTCTCCGAGCGTTGGTGAGCATTGCTAATGCAAGCGCGAAAGCCACGACAAAGACCAGCAGAATTCCGATCTTGAGCCATCCGGATGCCCCGTTAGTACTTAAAGCGTACAAGATGATGATGGGAAGCACCAGAAGAATGGTGCTAGCGACAGAGACGACCGCCTTAACGAAGCTGTTGACTCGATTGTTGGACAGGTATTCCGTCGTGGATGCTCTGCTCCTCTGACGGTCTTCTCGCGTCATGAGAAGAAACTGGACAAGAATCAGCACTTAGTCCCGGCAGCAAAAGTGTCACCTCCCCTTCTCAATATTGCTGGCATCAGCCGTTTCATTGATTCCGCCGCAGTCCCGAGCCAGGCGTCCTCCTGTGTACCCAGAAGCAAGGAGTCGTCTTTTCGGTATATGAGCTTATTCTCTTGGTTCGCTAGAGGCTTCTTGTTCTTGCCTGGTCCGCATTCCTTGCCATTGTAGATAAAGTTGCCCAAGCTTGCCCGCTGCTTTGCGGTAGATTCGCGAATGGAAGAAATCTCATGTTCGCGAAGCAAAAGCTCGTCATACTTCTCCAGAGTCTTCTCGACGTCCTCGAGTATCTCCATCCTTTTCGTTGCATTGTTCTTCTGCTGCAAGAGGCCGCTAGGGTCGGGTGAGTTTGTCGTCTGGGTCGCAGTGCCTGGAAGAGCTTGCTGATTCGCTATGTTGTGACAACACGGACATGAGTGAGTGCCCACATTCGGCATGAGGTTGGCGGTCTTCTCGTTGTATCTTCTTGAGATCAGTCGATACAAAGCCTCCTTCTCTCCATTCTTTGCCTTCTCCTCATCATCTCGGTCAACGTCCTCCAGAGCCTGCTCCAAGGCATTCAACTTATCTTGCGTATGCAGCAGAAGACGATTCCGCAAGTAGCTGAAGCGGCGATAGATGCGCCCGTCTATGTCATCACTCATATACGCGGCCAGGCTTGGGTATCCGGCCGGGTAATCCTCAGCTACCAGCGACGTCAATAGGGTTAACCGAGTTAGAGCATCGAGCGAACAACCTACCGGACTTGCTATACCAGGGGTCCTGGTATCTAGATGTCGCTGCAGCCTTGTCCCTCCTGGAAAACAACAATCTGCCTCCAGTAGAAGGCTTGGTCGGCGTATCCCGCAGCATTTGCAGCTGCACAACCCGAGTGTAAGGCTGAGCCTCGGCCTCCAGCTGCAAAGTCCGAGTATGAGGCCCGACCTCGACCTGCTGCATAGTGCCGTCCACTGGAGGCATCGAAACCGCCACAGTGGACTTTGTAGGCTCGGGAGATGGTGCATTATGTTGAAGAGATGGCATACTTGTACCTGTTGACAACGAAGGCATCTACTTCGTCTGTGATCCCGCCAGGTCGGCAGGTGAAATCATCCCCTGAATGAATCCAGGGAGTTGCTCCTTCCTTGGCAGGAGCGTCGGCTACACCGTCGAAATGACTCTGGGCTTGTTCCTGTTGACCAAGAGCACGTGGCTTGCCACGCCCGCCAAATATGATGGAGGATGTAATACAGCACAGTAGCAGTAATGAAAGGCACCTCTGTAGGGCGATAGGCATATTGAGCCCGAATCCTTGTCAGGCGCCTATCGATGTGCATGGGGGCGCCTAAGACATCTCGGCTTCCCGCCCGGAACCATGCCATCTTGGTAAAGGCGCACAGAACCCTGGGCAGTTGTCGTGGTAGTGATCCCTCAAGACAACAATGGTAAACCAGAAAGTCGATACCATCACACATTTGCTTCTCACCCACAACTGCTGTCTTCAGCCATGGACAGTTTCCACGCTTTCGATATCGCTGCCACTGGCGCCCCTGGTCTGGCCAAACGGCAACAAGGAATTCTTGCCATTCCAACAACTTACCTTGGACTCAACTCAGGGCCGTCGCCGGGCATTCTCGTAGCCATCGTGGTGGGAGCCATCGCTGGGTTTCTACTCATTATCTCCGCAATCTATGCAATTGCCACGTTTGGAGGCGGGGCGTTCAACAGAAAGACTACCGTGGTCGAGGAGGACGTTGTGCACCACAGGGCCAGTTCTAGCGGGAGACGACATAGTCGCAGAGGCTACCAGGACGACGTCTATGTGGAGAGGAGGACTTCCAGACGGCCGGCATCGTCGAGGATCGTCCGTGAAACGAGTCGTGGTGATGTTGAGGGCGAGGTATGTGGCCACGGCATGCCATTTCACCGACTACGCTGACGTTTGTGCCGCAGGACATATCAATTCCAGGATGAGAAGCACGACGCGCAGCGAGTTTAACAATTGATGGAGATTTCTATGTGGGCGCGGGTGATATTGTTGGAACAGAGACGGGCACGATTTCTCAGGACACCGAGTACAGAGCGCACCGCATCGTGGGCTGCACGGCACGGCTCTCTGACTTCCTTCGCGCTGTAGACACGCGGGCAGCAGATGAGGTTCATGCCGAGATATGCCCTCACTCAGCCATCTGTACACACTGTATCTATATGTTTTCTTCTCTGGCGCATGCGTATGTTTGTTTACCCACGCCGTCCTGCTGTGTACCTAGACCCTCGAACCCTGGCGCTCTTCTGCCCTGCTGCTGACGCTGCGGGGTGGCTGCCCGTTGCCCAAGCCACCGGATCTTCCGGCCACACGGCGGGTCAATGTCCACATGCATCATATTCGGTAATGTAATTTCAAACACCAACACGATGCCCGCGTCGTGGCCGGTTCCCATTGATTGACCGCCCGACCTGGACACCACACACCACGTCCACACCTTGCAGCTCGGGTACCTGCACCTGCACCTGCACCTGACCTCACTTCTTCCTGCAGCCCAACTCGACGTGTCGCGATATCGATGCTACAGCATTCCCGGTATACCCAACTACGTATTGTACCTGGACTCGGCATGCGAATGCGACTGCGGTTCATGGACGACAAGGTATAACAGACATCAATCACGACTCGAAGCCACTCCACTACAGTCGACCAAATCTTAGTACCGGCGTCTCGCCTCCAAAACAGGGAGCTCTATACTCTATACCCTACTCCTCCTGCGGACGAACAAACCGGCTCTCAAGCGCACCGCCTCGCACGCATCGCAACACCGCGCAAGTCGCGCCCCCGCCTGCCTACACACAGCCAACCATGGCTACTACAGAGGTCATCGTCCGCGAGTCGCGGCGACGGTACATCTGGCCCGAAGTGCAGCTCAACCTCTGGATCTTCATCGTCCTCGCCGGCTCGTCCACCGTCCTAGGCATCAACGCATGGTTCATCGCCGTGCAGGATCAAATGCGCCTCGGAATTCCTTGGTATGTGTGTATAGAAGAGAGGAGGGGAGGGGAGGGGAGAGGAGACGTTTTGGCGCCCCGACGCCGCGGTGCATGCCGTGCAATGTAGCAGGGCCGAGCCTACAACACTTGAACCTCTTTCTTCCTACCCTGTGCCACTCCATGCACGGACCATTAGAACTAACAGTGACTCCTCAGGATCTTCACCTTCGCCGTCATCACCGGCGGCCTGACCGTCCTCTTCCTGATCATCATCCTCATCCTCGCGGCCCGCCGCATGCTCATCCCCGGCATCATCCTGCTCGGCTCGTTTGTGTTATTCGTGCTGTGGGTGACCACGCTGATCGAGACGGCCGTCCAGCTGTACGGCGACGGCAACGTCAACGGCAACTGCAACAACTACGTCAACAACCAGGAGTTCCGGGGCGTGAGCATCGAGACCCTCGCCTGGCTGACGCAGAGCAACATCTGCAGTTGTTGGAAGGCGAGCTTTGCGTGGAGCATCATCCTTGCGGTCCTGTTCTTGTGGATGATGATCCTGAGTTGGCAGGTGCAGAATTACGACGATTGAGTGGCCCAGGCGTGCGGGATAAAAAGTACATCGATTGTTGTGGTCGTTAGGGACGTGCGTGCGTGCGTGCCTGGCGAGACTACTGCAGGGCCATGCTGCGCTACGCGCTACTCGCTATATTTTACTATACTACACTGTATGACTCAGCCGCTTGGGTCATGTTGTGTTTTGCTATGTCGTGTGTGATGCATAAAATGGGTCCTTTTTTCGGGATTTGGATCATTTGGTAGGCTGGCCGGGTGTTTGGTTGTTGGTTGTTTGGTTTGTCGACGATACACATGCGCGCATATATCAATGTCCCGTACGGACATCCTTTATATATACGGACTGCGGAGTTATTTGTCGCTTCCACTAGGTCTCTTGCACATAGAAAGGCTGTATTTGTGGATGGATGGATGCGGCGAAATGGAAGGGTGCAGCGTGTACTCCGTACGCAGTTGTTCATGTTGGGTGCGTACAGTATTTGACGGTTGACGGGACTGATGACTTTCGACGTGATGATCATTCTCTATCGTGCCGAGTGATACAACAGGCGGCATAATAAGCTTGAGAGAAACATGCGAGACTGCCATGTGGTCTATGACCATGCAATCCTGCCTCCAGTATTAGGAATACCAAGGGATACTGTCGCTTGCCCTGCCGGCAGTCAATGTGATAGACTCGTTCTACTTACAGGACTTGTACGTTTTGCTACTTGTAGTGGACTTGTACTTCCCCAACATGCCGTGTCGGTATGGATGCCTCTAATCCATGGTCTCGCTTCAGTAAGGGACGAGTGGGCGGGTATGCTCTTGTCGATTGTTCTCGATTCGTTCTCATCACAAAGGTGAGTCCCTTGTCGGAAATCTTATGTCACCTATCATTGCTATTAGCATCGCGGCCGCCACTGCTGGTGAGAGGTTAGGAAAGGGAGCCGGGTGGGGCGCAGAGGATATATTCAGCCGTAATTGAGGCTATCAATTCGTGGTCCTTCAGTTAGGTCGATGAGTGGTATCAAGCCGCTGATTGCGGACGAAACCTCCGAGGTGCGGAACCAAAAGTTGCCAGTGTCTTACATGTCGCTGAAATGCGTTATCAATGATTCTGCGTAAAATGACGTTGCTCAGGGGTGTTCCGATCATGATATCACTGTAGACTTTTCCCGAGAGAAGCGCCGCAGCCTGTCAGTGTCAAGGGTGTGTTCAGAGACTTGAACCGACGCCCACTGCAGCAAGTGACTGGACCTTGAATGGTGAAGTGATGTTTCGCCCGCTTTACGAGACTGAATCCAAGTAGCCGAATGCGTTTGGTCCTCAACCCATTGTCCTTCGCTCAAAGGCAGAGGACAACGGTGCTATCGGGAGATGCGTGATCTCAATTTTAGCAGTATCCATAGCCACGTCGCCTTGGAAGTATGTTACCCACTCCGTTGATCCCAACACCAGTGCCAACACACCATGAACAAGAGGTCGTGGTACCAGGAGAAGTGACCAGGTCCCGATTCCATGTCGCGACCTATTGAGTTCCTCATCGATCCAGTAAACGCCCGGCCCGTCACCTCTGTTCACCGATGCTGATACAACCTGCGATGGCACGAGAGAAGCCACGAAAGAACGTCCGAGCAGAACATCTCCGATACCAACGCATATCGATGCTTACGGTGGTCTGCTCATACAGCCGACTTCTGGTATTGCCGTTGTCCGTAAGCCGAGCTTTCCGATTGGCGGCAGCGAGCTCGACTTCTCCCTCGGTCGAGGACAGATCGCCACGGATGGCCTCTGTGATGGAGAGATGGCTGCAGAGCGGGCTCCGAAAGTATGGTGAAAACAGCCTCAAGCAGGAGGAAGAAACCTCTTGCTCGAGGTATGTCTTTCAGTCGATAGCTGATGAATAGTTCTCTGTAACCAATCGGCCGAAGCTCCTGTCGAGGGCCGTCAGTTGGAAGTCAGACAGAAGCGATATTCGGGACACACCAGAAACAGCAGCTCCACTTCAAGCAGACTCGTTATTCACACCTCTATGAGTTTATGCAAGACCACCCACCAAGATGTTCACCATAGACTTCACCAACAGCACATCGATGTCACCGGCTTGCACCTTGATGATTGCTATAGGCACCTTCATCGTCTGCATCCCAGCCGGACATATCATCCCCTGCAAAATCAACACCAGCGATATCCTCATGATGGTCACCTGCGTCATAGTCGCCCGTACCGGCAGCTGTGCAGTCTACACCGCGATCTTCAGCACCATCGGAGGGGTCCGAACTGATGATCGAGTCGCTGTAATATGGCTGAGGGCAGACGAAACGAGCCTGAGACCACCTCCGATTTGGCACATACACTCGAGGGGCACCAGCGAGGATGCGGCGCGGGTTGTTGGTATTGACCTCGGGATGATAGCCGGAGTCAAAATCCGTCTGCTGCATCCTTCAACACTCCACTGTGAGGTTGATCTCGTCCACAACCTTCTGTAGCCGGTTGGTGATGGCGGTGTGCTCTAGGCCTGTGACACCATTGAGCCATGACTCGAGGAAGTGCGTGAAGAATTGGAGTGCTCGCTGGAACAGACAACGCAGACAAGCCCAGGTCTGGTACTTCTGTGCAAGCACCTGGTCCAACTCGGTCAAGCACTCCCAGTGATACCACGTAATTGAGCATGTTAGATCCTCGCACTGGACTGAACCCGACCATCCTTTCACGTCGCCTCTGGGGCATAAACACCACCTCTTGACATCCTCGAAGGGCCTCTGAGGAGTTCTACGCTCTGCCTTGCCTTCTTGCAAGACATGATGGAGCCAGACTAAACCAGCCATCCAGATTTGGTCATGAGGTTCTTGGAAGGCAGTGGGAACAGGTTCTTTTGCGAGCTGCGACAGGTTAGGAAGCATCGGCTCAATGTCGGGCGGCGGTGAAGGGTGCTTCTTGACTTTCTTCTTCGGAGCAGCGGCGAGGAACGTGCGGATGTCGAAGTCCGCGGGTAGCGTGCCAGGCTCGATTTGCATGAGAAAGGACAGGACCTCGTCTGCAGGAGCTTCATCATACGAGGACTCGGAGGTGGAGCCGGTGGATTTCGGTTCTCGAGAATTGGTGGTCTTAGGGGTCTGCCGAGCTGCAGCAAGGCGCTGGCGGCGGGTACGTGGTCGAGGGCGTTCAGAACCTGAAATATCTTTGGACGGGACGCGGTTGTTACGCCTGCTTGGTTGATAGGTGTTGTCCTTGAGTTCGTCGAGTCGATCGCGTTTACCCCTGCTATCCAGGTCACCCGAAGCTGCCGAGGCCTGGCCAAATCGATCGGGAACTCGTGATTGTCTCTTTGGACGTCCAGTCCCGTCCTTGTTGTCCTCTTTGCCGACTCGTGCGAGGCGCTCACGAAGTCCGGGCGGCATCTTGAATCTTTGCTATTGCTTTAAAGGGATGTTTGTTGACCACGAGGAGCGAGAGGCAGTTGAACGGAAAGAAAGATTTGAGACAGGCAGTGAAGTGTCAAACCCTCCCCATTGTGAACTCCAAAGTTGGGCGTCCTTCATGTCCATGACCGTCTTGCTGCCAAGCATGGTAACATTCACTTACCTCGCAGTAGTCACCACACATCTTGAGCACCCTTGCGTAGTGTTCGTGCGCCCAAAAAAACCTTCCGCGCACAGGATTCGAACCGAATCCAACAGCAAAAAGGGCACCTAGCAACCGACCAGCCCGGCGCTGGAGGGGTGCTAGATGCTGAAACCCGTTTTGGCCCGGCGCCAAACCGCTACAGTGGGTTTCCTTCGTCGAGGACTGGGCAACTCTGCTCATGTGCAATGCAGGGCTACAGATAGGCTCGGGCCCGAACGACCTATCCGCAGTATGAACTCGGTATGTTCTGCTGGTCCTGTAGGACATTGGTTAGTGTTGCGGTAGGAAACTCGTGAGGATTTCTTACCCGAAGGACATGCACTTCTGTGTCGATGCCAAATATATACACTGACTTTCGGTGAATTGAGAAAATGGGCCTAGGTCACGGGGAAGGCTGCGTAGTGCGATAGACGTGTGAAGTGAAAAGGATGAAATTCACGCATGTCAGCATTGCAGACCACTAGTTTTATCTTCTTCCGCCGGAACTTCTGCATAGACAAGAGATGTGTAGACAATGCGCCTTGCGGACCGATGCCCACATATACTTTGTTCCGGATGCTGCTTGAAGGCTGATGACACATGGAGGAAGCAATCCAGGAAGGATATGGTCTTGAAGAGCATTGGAGCACCAAAATAAACAGTTTGGATGTCTTTACCTCCAAGACGGTCTAACAACTCCAACCTCAAAACAATGCTGCAGATATGGGCTTCCAATGGCTGTGAAGATTGTCTTGATCTACTTGCATCAAAACAGTGAGGAGAGGTAGAGTTGAAGTCGAGGTTTGGCAAGCGAGTTTGTAGCTCCAGGCGAACCTCAAGCTTTACCGAATGTGGAAGAAGCAGGACAAGGTTCGACTCAGAACTGTGGAGCTCTGTGAGAGTCACGTGAATACCATGACTCAGTCAAGCCACCATTCTAGACACCTTACGCGTGACGCGTCGCGTTGTCTTCTCCGCTCCCCTCGATAGCAACGAAGCTGTCTGCACATGAGATCAAAACACAAGCGGCAGAATCTGGAGGAGTCCGGTGTAACTTGAGACGACCAGTCTGAACCAGGAGCGCCAATACTGGGGCCTCACGACTGAACATCTTCCGCGACTGGTGCAAGCTTGTCACTGTGCAGGAGCAGGGCTCTTCCTTTCAGCATTGCGTTTACTCTCACACATCGGAAGGCTCTTATCAGGCGGCCGCTGCCGTATGTGTGCATGTTATTCTCTCCTTTCCCAACAAATTGCTCTCGTCATGGCCAGGCTGAAAACGGTTTTGGTAACTGGTCGGTGTGGGAAACTAGTACATACTAAACTAGACGAGATTCAACACCCGAATCAACCAGTATACTGACTCACAGAGTCACCTGACACGTGGGTAATCGCGAGAGACGACACGTCGCCTATACCCTCGTGTCGACTGAGGTCAATGAAGTCGGTAATTGCCAGCACATAATCTGAGCGTGGATGATTTGGAGGATGTGCGTTCTAAAGACTAGGGCCCTCGAAAGGTGGTTGGGAAAAAGAAGTAGTGGAGACGATGTTCGTGGGTGCATCTTTGCAGGATGAGATTATCGAGCGTGACGGAGCTCGACAGTCTTCCATACTAACAGGTTCTGCCGCATTCAGACACTATCAGTGTGAACGACATCACGCCGGCACGCCGGCACGCCGCCCACGCACCAAGCCGAGGGCTACTAACACAGGCCGACGGACCACCATTTCTCAGCCGCTGTAGGTATTGGACAAAAGCGTCCAAACGCTTGCATGCGGCGATCTTGCCGAATCAGTTACAGTCGACGTGGATGATGTATTCATATGGTGCTCAGCTCTTCACGAGCCGCTCTTTTGGCTGCTGGAAAGTCACGCCAACTCGTGCGAGGCCGCGAGAGTGCGCCAAGCGCGACCAATGAGGCGGAATTTCCATGACACTGCGGTACAGTCAATCGAAGCTGCCGCTTCCTGGGTCGGGAACCGCTGACAACAGTTGCCGTCCTGCCTCCCGCTTGGTGGGCTTAACTGTCTTCACTTCTCATTCTCGCTGCAGTTAGCTCGCGTTGACTCGGCGTCCAACTGATGATCCGAAAGCATCAGATCCTGTCCTTCCTCCTCCTCATTTTCCTCAAAGGTGTTCATTTCCAGAGTAGCGTCCACACACATGTGGCTCCAGGTGCCAGAGTCGGACGCGGCCACACGTTGCGATGCTGTCCAGGTGCGTGCTCCCGCTAGGTTGTCAGAGGAAAGGAACATAGTGTCCGAGGCAATGATGCGAGACTGGAAGGCACTTCCAATTCCGATGAGTTCCTCAGAAGGTGTCATCATGTGTATTGTCATGTCATCAAGCGAAACGGGGGACGGATATTCGTCGGCTTGCAAACTTCCGCCGTGCACATTCGCCGTGGTGGATGGGGCCTGTCCACCCTGGCCGGCGCCGCCTTCGGTCACTTCTGTCGGACAAGCTCTACACTTTGCATGTCTGCAGCTTAGGCACGTTCGTTGGCGGAAGCTGAATCCTTGGGCAAAACCGGTGCAAGAGCAGCAAAACCATACTGCATAGTTGAATGTCGGGGGGGGATTGCTGGGTCTCACGCCCGGCCGTCGCTCTATCTGATCGCCTTTGGAAGGTTGTAAAGGCCCGCGACTGCGACTGCCGAAACCATTTCCGGCATCAAAGCAGTGTTCAAGTGGATCGCGGTTCGACATATTCTATCCTCAGGCTTCCGGGGCTCGTCATCGGACCCGACGAAGTATGCGGCCACCCGCCAGCTATAGCACGAGATTCGGCATGGAGGAAGCGTGCATGCTGGCTATTCAACGGTTTGGTGAGGTTGACATACCCTCCTGTGTACGCGTGAGGCTCTGTCTACGGACGATGCGGGGTGGCCGCACGGTGTTTCGTTCGAGACCAGGCGCTTCGCGGACCAATCGCTTCATGCATGCGTCTCGTCGTTGCTCTTCTTCATGCCTGATGGTCACCTTGATACAGTATCCGAGCTTCCTTCCACGGAAGCGTGGCACAATCACCAGATCATGCCTGCCAACGTGTCTGTTCACTCTACTCCTGCCAACCATACGGGATCTCCTACCGGCACCCCGACCCCTACCCCCTCTAATCACTCGCCAACTGGACCTCAACCTGGCGTGGGCGCACCGAACTCGCCCCAGCCCAAAGCAGCTTTAACCCGACGCGAGGTCGAGGAGAAACCATGGAAGTATATCGGCTACAAAATCTTCTCACAATGGCTTGCCTCGGACGCGGATTTCTTCGTGGTCCGTAGATTTGAAAACCTCAGTGCGAGGGTGATCCTGTCACTGCAATGGGAAATCTCCGTGCTAGAGCGACAACTAGAGGAGCTGGACGATGTCTTTTCCGCCCGAGACGCCCCGGACGTCAACAACGGATCGTTGCACTGGCTCGACGACGACCGGAGAGCACTGCTGGCAGACATCCAGGTCAAGCTGCAGGAGTACAACAAATTCGTCCTCCGGCACTCGGCGCTGAGAGAGCGACCCCCCGCGTCGAAGCACGACGTTACGAACGTCAAGAACTGGCGCGCCACGTACCCGCACGCCATTGACCCAGAGGAAGCATCTTTCATAGACCGGGAAGACGACCTCATCAACGTCGTGCCCGTGCCGAAGACGCCCCTCCGGACGGCAGTCGAGCGTTTCATCGGGCTCGGTTGGAATCGCTTGTTCCTACGGAGTCCGCAACGTTTTGATGACCTTGAAGGCGGGGAGAAACGGCCATACTTCGAATACGACCCCTCCAGCACGAGATATTACTCCGACAGCCTGGTAGACGGTTTCTTCACCGCCATAGTCTGCATCATCGGCCTGATCATGCTGGTCACTCCGCTGTGGATCCTCATGTTCGTGGACCAGCCGATCCAGCAGTTGGGCGTCATCACGGGTTTCATAGTCCTGTTCCTCGGCCTCATCCAATCCGTCACGGTGGCAAGGCCGTTTGAGAGTCTTGCGGCGACGGCAGCGTAAGTCACATCCCGGTAATCTCGAAGGGAGCTGTCAGACCCAGCGTCCGGAGCCGCGAGAAGTCGATTCAAATTCAAGACGCTATGGCTGACTGCGTGCATTCGCGATACTAGGTACTCGGCTGTGTTGATGGTGTTCATGCAGATGGGTGGACCTGCCAGACAGTAACGCGGCCACCAGTTTGAAGGTTCTATGAGCGAGCAAGCTTGCCAAAGATGTCTGTACTACAGTGCCAGGTCGGCAGGGCGGAGGGATGTCTCCTCGCCTTTTTCGTCGTGTACGTGCGAATATGTGGCGACCTACCAAGAAGCAAGCAGTCGATGGACGGGCTGAGGCTTGGATTGCAGTGACAGCTCTTGCCACTCCTGGCAGGAACCTTTTGGCCAAGGAGGGTTCAATACAAGTGAGTACGAATTCAGTTCGGAACCCTATTCAGTCCAGAGGCTAACTAGCCATATAGTAAGGAGGGTCAAGTACTCAATCACGGTCATTGTCACAGTCACAGTCACAGTCGAGGCCGCATCATAGCCATCCAAGCCAGTGACTTGGCCTCAACCCATCTTACCTTTGAGGGATATACGGCTGAGAGGACGAATCCAGCGAAATTTCGTCTAGTCCAACGACTCATCGCACGAACCATGGTTCACGTGTACTCGTGCCCTTACAGTCTTGACGCTCGCTCTTTCGCTGAACTTCCAATGCTCGTCCACTCGTCTTCTTTGATATCCTGAAAATCCATGACTCGATCCGCACCTTCAGGTCCGAATCTGCCCTGCAAATCTCCCCAATCTCGTCTGACCGCTGTCTCGGGCCTCCATCGAAAGCTGTGCTTCAACCGCTCGTCCAATTTCTCTTCCATCGCATCGGCAATGAAGCCTCCAATCGAGGGAATATGAGCAAACCCATGGCCGCTGCCCCCCACACCAAGCACCAAAGAAGGGTACTCGGGATGTAAGGAGATGAGAAAGGCACGATCCGGCGTATCCGCGCACCAGCAGATGCGCGCAAAGCTGAACGGCCGATCCGCAAGATGGGGCATGGTCTCGCGCAGGAAGGCACGGCACCGAGCCTCGCTTTCGAGTGGGATTTGGTGCTTCGCGAACGGCGTGCTTTTGTCACCGGTACCGGTACCAGTAGTACCAGTCCAGTTACAGTACCCAGGATGCTCATCGCACATCTTCAGCTCGTGATGCTCCGCGTCGGGTTCCATGAAGAAGCCCCGCTCGACGTTGAACAGCACGGGCAGGTCCCTGTACAGCGCGGCCTCGTCGGGCGTCATCTTGAGATGCGCCAGCGTCCAGGCCGTCGGGCGGAGCTGATCCTCCATGTCGAAGAGCATCGCGGCGTTGGCGCCAGCACACAGGATCGTGCGGTCTGCGTAGTGCGCCTTGCTGTCCGCGGTGAGCGCGCCTTTCACGTCAGAACATTCATAGATCAGCCGCGTGACCCTGCCGACTTGGTCTCCCGTCACGAACGCGACGCCCAGCCGCGCGGCTTCGCGGGCCGCGCTCTCCATGCTCTTGCGCGCGTGGACCCAGCCGGCGCCGCTGCCGCTTTTCTTCCACCAGCCCTGCCAGCCGGGGAAGTCGCCCGTCAGGACGCCCTTGGGCATGGTGGCGCGGAACTCTTCCTTCGTGCGCAGAGGAATCCACCCGTCGGCCTCGCTTGGGCCGTCAGGCGAGTTCATATACGCCCGCGCTTTGTTAGATGTGGCTGCAACAATGCACCCGGTCTCATGGAAGTAGGGCTGAAATACCGGGTCATGCAGCCATCCCGCCGTGGCGGCTTCGAGAAGCCTGTGCGACACGTACCGCTCGTCCTCGTCTTCACCTGCGAACGAAGCGAGCTCGAGGATCTTGTTCAAGTCATTGCCTGCCGAGATTGGGGAGGGGACGGCATAGGCGTCGAGCACAGTGATGGACGTGTAGCCACGTCGAGCGAGGTGGAGGGCCGTACTACAGCCCCAGGTGCCTCCGCCGACTATGAGGATCTTGGAGGTGTGCGAGAGAGGGGATCCCGACGCCATGTTAATACCTAGCCAAATACTGCGTAGAGTGAGGCGGAAGAAAAAATGCTACCGAGCGCAGAACTCTAGAGAGACCATGCCTGTAGAGAGGCCACGCGTGCTTAGCATGTGGAGAGACGGGCTCGCCACGGCCTGAATGTGACGTGGTAGTAGACCGCAGTGTTATCGGATTTGGACGCGATGCGCACAGAGATGAGTACTGTACAAAGGAGAAAACGTCCGGGCAAAGTCGACCGACGACTCTCCACATTTCCCATCGCTACTACGGTGCATTCGTACGGAGTATCGAGCTCGCCCTTCCCATGAGAGTCAGGGCTAACATGTTTTGAGTGTAATACAGTAGCGATCTTCAAGGGGAAACCGCCTTCCCACAAGAGGCCCAGCTTCGTCGGACCTGGTGTTTGACCCAAGACCCATTCAAGGGAGTATCATGCCGACTACAAAAGCCACAGGTCCACAGATGGTTTCGCTACCCAAGAGATACACCCATACAGGACGACTCGTCATCGTCCTTGGACATCAACTAGGACATCCATGCTCAACATCCAATACTTGATATCCCAACATCGAATAGTAATTGAGTTGGACTCCTCTGCTTTCGAAAACACGCTACTTCTAATAGATCAAGCCACAGTATTCATAGAGCATGCCACAATGTTGACGCCGGGCCTACGTAGTATACGGATCATCTGGATAACAGCATTCTAGCGCGCATAGAACACTGGCCCTCGGTTTCCTGTCAGTCCAGTTGCAGTTGACTGTAGTCCAAGGTAAGGTGTGCACCGTACTCTGTACTTGCTTCAGACTCTGACTCTCTTCGCAGCTTCCAACCTTGTTTTCTCTAGATTCCTCGCACGTTTCCTCTCCTCCCTCTCTGCTTTCGCCTTGAGATACCGCTCCGTGTGCTTCAACACCTGCCCTTCCTTGCCGCGCACAGTCATGTCATGCACCACGGGCGGCTTCGTGAAGAACAAGATCCGCCCCTGATCATCCTGCGGGAACTTGTCGCGGATGGATTTTGGAATGGATGCGTTGGCGGTGTCGGAGAGTACAAAAACGTCGCTGGCGCGGTGGTCCGGGTAAGTGCTTGCGGCAGCGGGGGTCGCTGCAGAGTAGTTTGAGTATGGTTGGGAGGTGGGCGCTGTGGTCGAGGTTTGTTGTTGATACAGAGGCCGGCTAAAGGCTGCTTGGGAATGAGAAGGAGTGGCTGATGAGGTGTAACTTCCTTGGCGGGCTGGAGTCAGGCTTGGTTGAGGTTGGATCTGTTGGTGCGTGGAATACGAATGATGGTTTTGCTGAAGGGCTGGTGTCGATGGGGCAATGTTGGCACGGTATGTGGTTTGTGACTGTGCGAAAGAGTTCTGTCTGCCGTACTGCGGAGCAGGGGAGATCGATTGGTGTTGATATGGGTTCGGGGTCAAGGACGGTGACGGGCGTGTGAGTTGAGGCTGCAATGTAGGTGTGTGGCTTGCACCGTTGACAACCGGGCGTGGCGCCATGCTTGTGACAGTGCTCATGGATGGCTGTCTTACAACAGGCGGCGGGGGTGTAGGAGGTGGCGGAGGAGTTGGTTCAGGTGGTGGTGATTGCTGTTTAGCTCAACAAAGGTCAGTCACAGGTCTTTGCGCGGTGGCCAAACGGAGCAGCTGCACTCAGTGAACACCGCAGAAAGGATCTGCCAAAATCACGAAAGACTTACGTTTTCATCGCGGGGTTGTTTATGAATGCCTCCAACTATAGGTGGTGCGTTCGGATGACCCCATTGCGGCGTAGGGAGAGGACCCGACTCCTTCATATCGTCCTTCAACAAGTGCTTGAGTGGACTGGGCACTTTCTTGATCTTCCGCGGGTTGTCAAACAAGTCCATTTCATAGTCCTTGTCCCGAACCTCGTCGGGTAAGCAGCTGGCCCAGGTCTTGATCTTGTTGAACCTGTGTTTTTCCTCGTTATATCGAGCCTCACAGACGTAGACCTCGGTGGTTGTGCTGATATTGCGAGGTCTGCCCCGGGTATACCTGGTGAAGAACATGACAAAGCAACGGTCGAGGACCTCGTCGATCTGGTGGTCTCGATACTGCCCGGTCTTGACAACTTCATTCGGCCAGAAGTGCTTCTCGTACTGATGCACCGTCTGTTCGGGTCGATAGTACCAGCAAGCATTGATCCATTTCTGCCCCTCGGTGTCTTCCCAGGTTCGGTATATTTGAGCGACGATGGGTTTTGTCACATCATTCTGGTTCTGAAGATGAACCCAATCACCGACCCGCCAGAGCTCATTCTTGTGGAGGATGCCGTTCGGTAAGGGTCTCCGCCCATCCTCCATAAGGTACTCGTCATCGGGTTTGGCTTTCTCAATCTCAACTAATTTCTGCGCTTCTGCGTGCAAGTCTGCAGCATCTTGATAGATCTCACTACCATCCTCGTTGAACTGCTTTGCGTTGTTGAAAAGAAGATCAATATCCTTCATGAAGTGCTCGAGGGATTGATACTTCTTCCGCTTAGCTTTCTTCTTGATCATGTCGAGGGCAATTGGGTCTTTGATCTCAGCGAAGTAACTTGGGTACTCCTGCTTGTCGGGTAGTCGCTCAAAGTGACGGATTTTCAGGTTGCCGGCCTTGTCCTTGGGCTTCCGAAGACCTTTGAGAATGGCTTTGACCCGAGCTTCCATAGGGGTGTCGACCTTGGGAGGACGTCCTCGCCGCTTGGGCTCGCCGGCCTTATCATCGTCATCGCGGCCTTTGCGTCCAGAAATACTGGTCCGGCCACCTCTTCTGCGTCTCTTTCGCTTGCCATCATCTGAATCGTCCTCGGCGCCGTCCTCATCCTCATCCTCCTCGTCCTCGTCGTCATTGTCCTCGTCATCCTCTGAAACGGGCGTCGGCTCAGGTGTCGCGTCGGGTATCTCTCCAAGGTCTGGGAAGACTGTTTCCTCTTCCTTGATCAAGCCTTCATCTACCAGTTTCTTCAGCTCCTCCTTGAAGACGTTTTGCAGCAAGAACACGTCGCGCACTGGGCCAGAGTTGGGTCGATTATAGACCTGAGCGTTGTGGACGATCATGGCAAAGTCCCGGACGAACTCAGGAATGCCTGTGTATTGCTTCCTCTGGATCTTCTGCTTAAGAGTACTAATGGCGACGGGATCCTTGATGATTTCGTGGTAATCTGGCAGGACCCTTCGATTCGGTATGCGCTTGAACAGTTGCGAGGGAAAGTAGTCTCTGCGGTGCGCGTCAGCCTTCGCCTACTGAGGATTGTGCAACAGGCGCCACAAACTCATTTTTGACCTGAATCTTATGGTTTGTCAAGGTATCCGTAATGCTCTTGAGGGCTTTGTATTGGTCACGAGAAACAGGGCGGCCGTCGCCTTCTTCTCCTGGCGCATCATCTTCGTCGGCTTCAGCGTCCTCCTCAGCATTATCGTCCGCAGCAGCCTCCTCTTTCGCGTCGGTCGCGCCTTCGTCCTTCCGGGGAGGCTCGACTTCGATTGACTGCACGGGCTCTGACGCCTTAGCATCTGCACTTTCCAAGTCGGTCATTTTTCACCGTAACTACCGCGTCAGGTCTATGCGCAAGGAGGGGAGGGGAGGTTGTTGTGATGACAATGACATTGGAAGACCTCCTCGACGTCCGGCTTGTACTGTATATCGCGTTCATGGATGATGCGACATGCGGCAGCGGGGACAAAGGAAAGCCTGCGGAAAGCCGCGTCTCCAACCTCTGAAGAAGGAAATGTCTTGGCGAGCTTGACTGTCGCTGAGGCTTCCCAGCGACGACCTCACTTCAATTCGACATTACCCCTCTGATTACTTTATATCATCGACAGTGGTTGCTGTGGACAAGCATGTCCAAGCCTTCAAGTCTAATGAGTTCGGAGAACGCGTCCTAGTCGTCGAGTCGCGTCGAGGGCCCAGTCGGCAACTCTGGGGTTAAGCCGGACTTCACCACTCCCAAAAGTCCGTCGAGGACCTGTTTGGTTGGTAAGACGTAGAGCGACTGTCCTCTGTTTGCAATCTATCGTTTGCGTGCATAGGAATCAGCTGTCCAAAGGGATCTGTGCAGGTGCCATCTCGACAGCTGCCGCTTCATCACTTCCATTTATGACCACGTCCTTCCAAGTGGCAAGATTACAGCCCTCTACAAGATAGCCTTCTTTGAAACACTGGGGACTGGAACCGCCTTGATTAATCCTCTGCCACCTGCTCTGACACGCAAGACAAGATGAGGGTCCGAATACGGGGCCCTTCTGGCAAATCCTCCACAGTCTCTCTCGACGACTCCGCCACAATAGACACATTGCAGAAAACAATAGAGACCGAAACATCATTATCCTCCTTCGAGGTCAAATATGGGTATCCGCCGAAGACACTCTCACTCGACGAGCAACCAGCCTCCAAGCTTCTTTCGGAACTTGATGTCAAATTGAATGGAGAGCAGCTTATTGTCAACGAAATCAAATCCTCCAGCCAAACAGGTGGGCTGCAACCCACACCCAGTGACGCTGCAAAGAACGCCATCCGGACAGCTGGACCCTCGACAGACCATGGCAGAGTGGCTCCCCATGTACCAGCTCCTGCTCATTCAAGCTCGAAAACTCCGGGACACTCCGCAGCACCCCTCTCACTATCACGGAAGAAGAACGCAGAAATGGACGATCCTCCAGAGATCTGGTGTCCGGATCTGCAAGGCACCATGGTCTTGCGAATAATGCCCGATGATAATTCCTGCCTCTTCAGAGCTGTCGCCAGCGCCGTTTTGTCAGACGTTGATGCCGTGACTGAACTCCGGTCAATCATCGCGCAGCACATTCAGGCAAATCCGGAGAAATACACCAAGGCGGTTCTTGACAACAAAGAGCCTGACGCTTACTGCCGTTGGATCCAGACGGAAGATGCTTGGGGCGGTCAAATTGAGCTCGATATACTCAGTCAGCACTTCGACATCGAGATCTGCAGCATTGATGTGCAGAGCTTACGCGTGGACAGATACAATGACCAGGCGCAAAGCCGCTGTTTTATTGTATACTCTGGCATACATTACGACACAATCGCTCTGAGCGTCCAGGGCCAACCACCAGAATTCGACGTCAAGCAATTCATGCAGCCATTGGCGGATGAAGCGCTTCCGCAAGCCATCGCCTTGTGTCAGAAACTGCAAGAAAAGCACTACTTCACGGATACGGCCGGTTTTCAACTCATGTGCAATGACTGTGGGGTCAAATTAACTGGCGAGGCTGGGGCCATGAAGCATGCGCAGGAGACGGGACATATGAATTTTGGGGAGGCCTCGTGAATGGATGTACCGCGCGCCCTGACAGCATGAGCAGGATCTCCTGCGCCAGATGCCGTCTTACTTACGGTCTGCGCAAGAGCTCATTTTTTGCTTCTTGGTTCCTCGATTTCAGAGGGATTTCGCAGTAGCGCCTGTCAACGAAGTGAGATAGGTGACGTCTGGCTACCGGTCTATCCGATGTTCAGGCCTTTTGCGTGGGAAATCAATACCTTCGTCATCTGGCGTTGACCGACTTTCCCATACTTTATAGTCGGCAGGCTACGACGGAGGCCCCTGCGTTTCTGGGTATACAGTAGCCAATTTTCCTTCAGTGATATGCTCTGCTGACCGTGTCAATGCCGGCTAGCCATTAGACCTGGTGCCGCCACGGTACATGCCAAATAGTCGACCCGACAGATGTTTATGTAGGTTCTGTGTATATACTGGTCTTGCGCGGCGGAAACTAGACGACTGCACTGATAGGGAGTAATCACCAGAAGTGCCACTAAGTGCGTACGCCTTATCATCCTGGTTACCCCCGGGTTGCTTACACCGTACCATAGCGCACGCTGGAGTAGCTTGCGAGGTGTGGAGTAACAACCTCTGCAGTCGTGGAGGGTGACCCTTAAATCATACATACCTACGGTAGCCTCACTTGTTCCGACGACCCGGCTCACTCCTGACCAGACATACGGCTGGTAGAGCTGGGCAGCCACCAACAGGTTGGGCCCGGATTCCTCGAGGTTCCAGGCCGCCGACTCGACAACATCCGTCAGGTCTGGCTCGCTCCACTATACGAGATTTTGCCCTTGGCTGGCCATTGAGCATGTTGGGGCGCTGTTCCAACTTTCTGCTGTGCGGCCCGCACTGGCGCTTGTAACCGAGGTCGAACGGGGGCTGAATGTATATATCGTTCGATCAATGCCCCTCGAGCCTGCGAAACCGAATGGACTAAGGACATTTCTGGCCTGATAAGCTACCAGTGGATAATCCTCTCCCATCAGCTTCACAAGCACCTTCACAATGGCGTACGCACAATCATGGCTCGACGTATGTTTCCCCCACCCTGATCATCTGCGGTATCTCCTCTGACACGTACACTACAGTTGGAGAAGAACCTGGGCGGGCGGATGGTGTTGACCGGGACACCAGAGGAGATCCGAGCCCAGTACGACCAGCTGGTGGCCATGCTCCTCCCGCAACTCCCTCCCCCATCCGAGGCCGTCGAGAGCAAGGACGGTGATGTCGACGGGATCAAGTACCGCCTGTACACGCCCAAGGAAGCCGCCAAGTCCGGGCCCCTCCCCGTCGCCATCTGGACACACGGAGGCGGGTTCATGACCGGCGACCTCAACTCGGACGATCTTCTGTGCCGGATCGTGGCCGAAGCCGTGCCTTCGATCGTCGTCAACATCGACTACCGCCTTGCTCCCGAGCACAAGTTCCCCACCCAGCTCGAGGACTGCCTGAAGGTGTACAAATGGGTGAGCTGGCGGCCCTGCGCAATTTAAGACTTTGGATGGATGTCTCTAACGCGGGTTGTATTCACTCTAGGCACGCCAGAACGCGAGCTCCTTTGGCGGCGACCCGAACAAATTCTACACCATCGGCGGCTCGGCGGGCGGGGCGCTGGCCCTGCAAATCGCCAACCGCATCGTCAAGGACCCCTCGAAACGCGACGGCATCCGCGGCATCGCGGCGATCGTGCCGTGCGCGCTGCACTACGACAACGTCCCGGACGAGTACCGGGGCTTCTACAAGGCGTACGAGGACAACAAGGAGGGCGTGCCCATCATCGACAAGAAATCCATGGAGATCTTCTACGAGCACGCCGGCGCCGATCCCAAGGACCCGGACATGTTCACCGCCCTGGCGACGGACAACCACAAGAACTTCCCACCCACGTACTTTGTCAGCTGCGAGATGGATCCCCTGCGCGACGACGCGTACGTGATGGAAAAGGCGTTGAAGAAGGCCGGCGTGCCCACCAAGCATGACCACTACAAGGGACTGCCCCATTATTTCTGGATTTTCCCGTCCGTTCCTGAGGGCCAGCAGTTTGTGGGTAACTTACTGCAAGGTATCAAGTGGCTGATCTCGCAGATGTGAGGCGAGGGAGAGGTTCCTGGCGTTCAAGTCCTGGAAGCATCATAGGTGCAGAGGACTAGTATTTGCATGATGGACGACATCAAATATCTAGAGGAAGAAACCATACCTCACCGTCAATTCCGACGCCGCGAGCAGTCTCTCTGTGGGAATCGAAGCCGCTTTGGCAGACGAGTGCAAATATTCGCATGTGAAAAATCGACCCCCCAACGCTGCGGGGTTGTCCATAAACAAACCCCGCCAAACTTCCCCCTGCCCCTTCACGCATTCTACAGTACCCTGTCCCCCCACTTTAGGGCTCCTCGGTCCCCTGCATGGGCGTTCGTACCTGACAACTCGTGCTCCGTGCGACAAGTAAATAATTTCTCCATCTCCGTCTGCGCAGCCTTACCGCAACCCTACGCGTAGCCTCGCCAGACAAATCTACGCCGTCTCTACGAGCACAAACTCCTCCACGCCGTGTCTTCCCATGGCAACACCCTACCTCACGAGCCTGGATGGCTTCCCCTCAACGTTCCCGTCCACCACACCCAACGTCCTCGACAGCCCCATCACCACGGAAACCGATGGCCTCCAGGGTTCGAGACGCAGCACCGCGCTCCTAACCACGAAGCTCACGTCCGTGCTGGCCTCGTCATACGCGGACCATGAAATCCGAGACACCCTCCGCCTGCTCGACACGCGGGGCGTTACAAACGACGAAACCACGCGACGGCACCTCAAAGCAAACGCCCAGAAGGAGGTGATAGACTGTGATGCGCGCATCGTGGCGGACTTTGGCGACGTCGCGGCCCAGCTCCGGCGGGTAGGCGACATGATTGGCACTTTGAACGCCACGTGCGCGGCCATGAGGACGCACGTCCTGGCGGCGAAGAGGGAGAGTGGGCCGACGTTGGAAGAGGCAGGGCTGCTGTTGAAGCGGAAGCAAGACACCGAGCGCAAGGAACAGCTTCTCCGGGCATTTCGGAGCCATTTCCTCGTCTCGGACGACGAGATGGCTCTCTTGACTGGTAGTACTCTCGATGTGGATGAGCGGTTCTTTACAGCGCTCGCGCGCGTCAAGGGCCTGCATAGGGATTGTTCGTTGCTTTTGGGGTATACTGTAACTTCGACGGCGTCACCGAGTGGCTTAACATTGACGGCACCGGAAATGGATGACGAAGGCTCCTCGCGGCTTGGTATGGAGCTGCTTGACTCGACGACTCGCACGCTCGATGCATCGTTTCAGAAACTCTACGGCTGGATTCAAAGTAGGTTTAGGACGCTTGACATTGAGGACCCGCATATTTCGGGAGGTATCCGGCGAGGTCTGCGCGTCTTGTCCGAACGGCCTACCCTGTTCCAGAAGTGTTTGGACTTCTTTGCCGAGTCGAGGCAGAAAACGCTGAGCGAGGGGTTTCAGGACGCATTGACGGGAGCTGCTGGTGGGCCCGGCTCGGGCAAGGCGATTGAGTTTTCGACCCACGAACCTTTGCGCTATGTCGGCGATATGCTCGCTTGGGTGCATAGCGTTTGTGTCTCAGAGAAGGAGGCTCTCGAGGGGCTGTTTGTTGGTGATGAGGAGGAGTTGGCTAGAGGGTTGAGCGAAGGGCGAGCAAGTGAGCCGTGGGCAGAGATTCGCAGTGTCCGACGGGGCAGTGGTGTTTCTGATGACGAAGAAGAGGGTGAAGAGCACGGAGTGTTCGATGGCAGGAAAGCTCTTTCGGAGCTGATATCAAAGAACCTGTCGCTCGTGTGTCAAACTCTGCAATCGAGGATTGACATCACGGTACGGACGAGTGGAAATCCTGTTTTCATGTTCAAGGTGTTTAACCTGCTGGACTTCTACCGTGGCATATTCGCAAAGTTGCTGGGCGACGACAGTACTCTGACAAAGATTGTTCAGCAACTCCAGGCTTCCACGCTCTCACAGTTCGAAAAGGCTATGGAGGAAGAGACCTCTGCCGCCATAGCAACGATGGATGCAGAACCAACGCCGGATTTGACGCCTCCAGTGTTCCTAGCTACCGCATTATCGCAATTTAGCGAGATATGTCGGGCGAGAGGACCACAGATGACGGAAGCCGAACTCGAGCGCCTCTACACAGCAGTGCTGGGCGGCATCATCTCCGCTTGTGCCGAAGGCGCAACTCAGATTTCGGACATGCGCAGAAGCTGCATCTATAAGATCAATTACATGACCGCCTTGAAAGCGACATTGGCCAACGTGTCAGCACACTCAACTGCGTCGCAGGTACCGCTCCAAAAGTCCGCCCATGAGATTCAAACCTTGAGAGATCATTTAGTCGAACTGGTCAGCACAACATTCCTTGAGGACTCCGGCGTCGCGGACCTCACGCAGGAGATTGATGGACGAAGGACCCAGCCCTCTTCGCAGAGAAGGAAGTGGCTAGTGGAGAACCTTGATGAATCAGCACAACGCTTGGACGAATTCCTCTCTTCTGCACTCATGGATGTGCAGGAAGCCCTTAAACCTCTCCTTGATCGTACATTTGCTAGCGACGTCGTTGCCGAGGCTGTGGAGAGGTTTTGTACTGACTTCGATGAGTTAGAGAGTTTGTTGGAGACTGAGGACATGGAGACTACAGAAACCGAACAAGATAGGGGCGGTGAGAACGGGCTTGACGAGGCCGATGTCAGCGAGGCGGTCGGCTCATTGAGAGAGCTGTACCCTAGGACTGGGGCAGAGGTACGTGCTCTGCTGAGTTAGCCAAAGGAATTCAAATGCCTCCTCTACCTTCTTCTCGCTAAGCGATGTGGGAAGCATGAGGTATGTGGTTGATGCTGCTCAGAGTGCAAAGTTCCACTATGTTTCTGCTTTTGTGGTCTAAACTTCTTCGTTGTTGCATGCGGTGATCAACTTGGGCGACGCCTCTTGTCATTGTCGTAGCATTTGAATTTGTCCGAAGCCTGGTGGTCAACGCTGGAGGCGCTAAAGGACTTTGTCGGCAGCAGAGACTATTCCCAGTCAGTATGACATCGGGTAGAGCTTAGACCAAGTTAACTTACCAGTGACACCAGTGTTGTCTGGCTCGACCGCGACTTTGACAACCTTTCCGTTATCGGTGAGTACAGCATAACGCTTGCTTCGGTTGTTCCCCAAGATCTTAGCAGCATCGAACTCGACATCCCAGGCGCGAGTGAACTCTCCAGCCGGGTCGGCGAGGAATCGAATGCCACTCTTCTTCGACTCATCCAAGCTCTTTGCCCATGCTTTCATCCTGTGAAGGAAAGTCAGCCGGGGCAGGTCCCTGTACGCAGACGTTCCTTGCTTACACGAAGGCATCGTTGACGGAGACCACAAAGACCTTTCCAGCATCCTTCAACTTGTCACTAGCAATATAGCCAGGGACATGTGTGTCTGAGCAGGAGGGAGAGAACGCCGCGGGGACGCCAATGACAACGCCCTTGCCGGAAGCGAGCTCTTGGGATAGGTTGATCTTGTTGCCGGGTGAATCCTCGTAGAGGTCGACGTTTGGGATGGAGTCGCCTTCTTTAACCTGCGGAGGAGTCAGTGCTGAGAAGCAGGAAGCATCGGGGATTGAGATACCATGATTGCAGGTGTTGAAGAGAAAGATCTGATGAATGGTTTGGAGGATGCAGTCCGCAATGAGGTCGACGAACGTAGAACGGATCGCGAGAACATTTATGTGACCGAGGGGCACTTTTTTAATGGAGATAATATTTGGAATGTACTCAGTATGGCCGATGCACTCCGCCAAATCTCAGTAATTCGTACGCTGTTCCGCTTGCTATTGTCAATCGGTGCTGCACGTCCCGCAGAAATGGTGCAAGAGCGACTGAGGACAACATGATGCGGGGTTTGGTCGCAGCTCACAGGAGCTTCTTCGAGCTTCTGCACCGGGTACCTGAGGGTGCTGAGGGTTGCGAGACCCACTATTGAACGATTACTCAATTCCTTGTCGGCCCTGCACCACATAGCATGAATGTTCTGTAACCTGCGTTTGTAGGATGAAAGGCGCGTCTATATCGGCTTTTTAAGTAATGTACTTAGCAATCCATGCTTAGATGACACGGGCAAACTTTTCTATTAGTCTCCCCAGCGTGAAAAGCTGGGGTTCCGTGTCTCCTCATTCCCCCATTCTCTTTTCACTCCTTTGCTATGTGCGACAAACTTCATGCACGAGGTATTTGGAATTATTACGATCTTGTCTTTGGAGAATCAACCAATAGGAGGCACAGGTAAGCTCGACCGGATCATGGGCCGCGGGCTTTACTCCAATCGCATATTTGACGGACACCTAGGGTAAAGCGACGGCCTTACAGGCAGACAGATCAGCAGTGCCGAGTACTCATACGAGCACCATGGACGACTGAGCAAACTTGGAAACGACTTGGCGATATAGAGGCCACTGAGAGAGTACTCCGTATTGCATCCCACCAAGCATTAGTGGTACGGCTATTTTTGCACAAGAACCCGGGCATCAATCAGGGCGCTCGCTTGGCTCTCGTCCCTGCGTCTTTCGCAAAGATTCGCGGCGCGACCGAGAACCTCTGTTAGAGCCGAAGAGCCCCTTTAGTTTCCCTGATCTGAAGCTTGCCCCAGTTAGACCTTGCCAAAGCTGAATATGTTCGACTTGCATACCCGTCTGCAGGAGTCGTTCCAGAGCGACAGAGCCTGAGACCCAGTCCGTGCTCCGCATGGTCTAGACTCACCCCATCATACAATGATACTGAGCATGGAACATGTGATGCTGTGCAGCAATATGATACCGACTTTGGAGGGTCATGCCCTTGGTGGTCCGTCGCCATGGAAAGTCGATGAGTGTTCACCCCTTAGGAAAGCCACATTTGTCTTGTTCTAAGCTTTAGCAAGGATCCTGATACACGATCTGATGCTAGAATGAACGGCTCGACTACTCCCTACTGAAGCCAGAAACAAATCTCGGGCAGGAATTGGTCTCACGGCTGCTTCCCCGGGGGGTTTCAAGTCGCTGAAACGGGGCCACGCCACAAGCCTATGGTGCAGGATCGCTTGGGCACACTGTTTTGTTAGACCCTGCCATTCTGCTTCGTGGCGATCCGCGATCTCGGTAGCGAAGCGAATCCGCGGACCTGGGAGCCTCGATCGCAGCAACAGGCCTTTTCGCTGATGACGTTCTTCACCAGGATGTTCAATGAATGCAAGATGCCATTACGGAAACAGAGACGTTTTTCCCAATGACTAGCCTCTAGACCCGCGTGCGACGATTTCACGCCACTGATAAGATTGACCGCGATCTCATGGCAATAGTAGACTTGTGCGATATATAGGTGCAAGTTGAGAGCTCTAAAATCATCACCACACCGCAGGAGTCGGGCACTACTGAATACGTCCTTAACTACCGTCTTTGCCAAAGCGGAACGCGGCAGCCACTCTGACTTCAGCCGTCCGCGCCGAGTCTGACGCAGCTGCTTTGATCGACGCATGATCGCCGTCAGCACCGGGTAGGATAGAGTGAGCGCATCCAAGCGCTTCCCACCACAATCGGAGTCTCGTCGGCGAAACCTGAGAGGAGATCTTGCGATCACTCAATCTGCTCCAAACACGTCAAAAATACAAGGCCATGGGCGCCTCCGCGCGGAATAGGCATAGAATAGTTTCTTTCGAGCATCGCCTTCTCTCCTGTCAGAGAGATTGCCGGCGGGCGGAAAGGACTCTAATGATACTGGGGACGCTGCCTCCGCTAACCAGTTGGTTATACACAGGACATTTCTCTGGAAACGAGTACCTCGTAGCTTGACAGATGCAAAGCCTGCACGACGTGCTCGTGTCTGCTTTTAGTACACAGACATGCGTCCTCGCACTAAGACGCTCGATCAACCGAAACATTGAATCTTTCGGCTACCGTTCGTTTGGCAGGTGCAGGGGATTGTGTGCCAGTCCCCGAGGTTGCTGCGTGTCGTGAAGATAGAATGATCGCCGCGAAGGAAGCTTTCGTCAGCATTAATATCGGCAGTCATGCACGAGTACAACGGCACAAACCGTTTTGCTCCCATCGCCCGGGATAGTTGTCTCTTGGGCAGTCGATCGTCCCTACCTCCGATTTGAGGAAGGTGAACAGGCTGAGAAGACCAAATCGGTGACAGAACGAGCGCCTCATCCGTCATTCTTGTCGCACTTAGGGCTCTTTTAGCGAATCTAGTTACGCCGCGAGCACGACTTTTGAGACTTTGCTAGGATAACGATCGCTGGTGGTGCGTTGAGGTTGGCGGGAAAATAAGGCCCGTCACCTGCTCTCCCCGATCCGATCGTTTCTTGTCGTTGAGTTTCTGATCCAGGAGCGTCCTGTCAATGCACGCTGTCATTGAGGTTCGCGGTTCTTAGCGCGCCGCAAGTGCTATGGCCATCCACCCAGTGCCCCCAGTTAGCCGAATTTCCCCTCGTCCTGGCGCTGTCGTTAAGCCGCAGGAGCTCCATGCCCGCTGAACCAAGTGTGCTCCTGGAAAATCCACCTGAGTGGTCCTTTCGATGACGCTCACTGGTTCAGCGTTCTTCAGCCAGCGAATGGCGTTGTGGCACTCGCGAGACACCGATAGAGGCAAAGCAAAACTGGTCGTTCCCAGGAATCTGGCGTTCTTATTCTTTTGCCCTCCAAGCTCCGACCGACGAAGGTGCAAGCCCTTTCCATACTCGTAAAAGATCCCACTTGCCTGCCAACTCTTGTCTCCGGGGCTCGTACCAATCCCTCATCCACCACTTCCATCTTCAGCATCGCTCACTTATTGACGTCTCATTGTCGCTTGACCACTGCTCTGCATCGTAGCCACTTTCGCCGTGTAGGCTGAACAACCGAACCCCCACCGAATCCCTCGACCGCTTTATATCTGGTCGACTGGCCTTGACCTCGAAGATCCCCCATTTCTCCGGCGCCGGAACCTGCATTTTGGCAACCACCGAACTTGAGCACCCGAGCTGTCTGTGCCCACTGGAAGCATCTACCACCAACGCATTCCATTCCAATCGCAATTGTCTGATGACAGTCCGCGCATACCTCGATCGGCTATTGTGATTATACCACTTCAAGACTCTTATACCACTTTCGCTCATTCGTAGCGATGCTGTGGTGATTCGGCTTTGCGCGGCGAATTGCATCACCGACTGCGAAGACACTTTTCGCACTCTTCAGACCTAGTCAGGCAGGGAAACACAGCACGGTCTGATTTACACGTAGATAGATCCAGTCAAGATGGACGGTGGCGGCGCAGCGAACAATTCAAGCGACTTTGTGCGCAAGCTCTACAAGTACTTGTCCCACGTGCGGCTCATCTGTCTATCGAGTACTGACCCATTTGCACAGGATGCTCGAAGATCCATCATACTCCTCAGTAGTGCGCTGGGGGGATGATGGCGATAGCTTCGTGGTCCTCGAGAACGAGAAGTTTACCAAGTCAATACTACCGAAACACTTCAAGCACTCGAATTTCGCTAGTTTCGTGCGGCAGCTGAACAAATATGACTTCCACAAGGTGCGGCAAAATAACGAGGAGGGGGGAACGTCTATGTACGGCGCAAACGCATGGGAGTTTAAGCACCCGGAGTTTCGGCAGCACAACAAAGACAGTCTCGATAACATCCGACGAAAAGCACCAGCGCCCCGTAAGCCGTCGAGTCTGAACGACGAACAGATACCAATTCAACAAATCGACCTCATGAACCAGCAGATTGTCGCTCAAGCCCAGCAAATAGAGTCCTTGGTCGCGACCACCAACCAGCTGCAGATGAACCATCAGATGATGGTACAGGAAATCCTTCGACTACAGAAGACAGTGCTCAATCATGACCGAGCCATGCAAGATGTCATGACATACTTGAATTCCGTCGATGCGAAGCAGCGGAGGGATAGCAAAGCACTGTTCGCCCCACCCGGCGAGGCCGCACAGACGAACACAACTCTGACGCCGACAAGCCAGACGATGCCTCCACAAGATGACGACGTCCCAGCGTCGCCTCTACAGCATGCTCAAAAGTTATTGGGCGATTTCAATGCCGATGGCCAATTTAACATCACAGCCCTCGAACAGATGAACACAAGCATCGCGACCCCGCCCGTTGGACAGGATCCTCGAGGTGGCGTATTCCGTGGACCCAATTCTGCCGCATCGAGTGGCACCATGACTTATGCGAAGATGAACCCCGCTGACCTCGAGACGGTGGTGTATCCGATGGGAACAACAAATGGCATCGACCCCATGTCCAGCGAGTACATCCACAACATCCCGTACCCGATGCCATCACGAGATGCACCCGATCCTCGGACACAGTTTGCCGATACTCGTAAGAAAAGCGGGTTGTCAGACCCGGGCTGGAGTCGGCCGCCCCGAATACTTCTAGTCGAGGACGACCCGACTTGTCGACAGATTGGCGGCAAGTTCCTGTACTCATTCGCCTGTGTCGTGGATTCTGCGCTTGATGGGCTGGAAGCTGTCAGCAAGATACAGGAAGGCAACAAATACGACATGATCTTAATGGACATTATCATGCCCAACCTGGACGGGGTGTCGGCCTGCCACATCATCCGCCAGTGTGACCGAACGCCGATCGTTGCGATGACCTCGAATATCCGGTCCGATGACATTCAGATGTATTTCCATCACGGGATGGACGATGTTTTGCCTAAGCCATTTACGCGGAAATCATTGCTTGACATGTTGGAGAAGCACCTGATGCATCTGAAGAAACTGCCACAGGGTATGGAACAGCAGCCGATGTCTGGGACGACTGCACCATCCGGAGCTGCATCATCGACGGCACATTCCGTCCGGGACGACATGTCAGCAGGCGCCTCCCCAGCTGGCTCGAGTGGGACGTGGAATTCACCCAGTCAGTATTCCGGCGTTTCACCCGTTAACCCCAACATGCACTATCCTGGCATATCCTCACAGCAACAGTACGTTGATGCAAATGGGAATGCATATCAAGCCGGGCCACAAACGCCCGTGGGCATGCGAGGACCGGGCATTATGGCGCAACAGTCACAACCGGCACATCGACGAGGTCAGTCCGAAATGTCCGGTGCAGCAGATATGGGGAGTGCGACCAAACGCCAGAGAATATATCCACCCCAGCAACAACCGATGGCGGCGCCAATGCGGCAATAACCAAATCGAGTGTTATAAGACGGGGCAATGCAGATAAAAGCACACATATACATTGCATGGTCAACTCTGGGAGAATCCACTGAGACCAGAATCGCCGCTGGGACCATGCTCCCCGTCCACAGCAGCTCGAAGGAGGCGCTACCGAGTGTACTTTAAAATCGCATAGCCGCCATGGCGTCCCGAGGCAGTCCGCACTGCTGCCTCTCGATTTGCACTGCTGCCCGGTCCCCTGAAAGCAAAAGGACAGCTCGAGAATGTTCGCACTTGTCTTTTAGCGGTTCAGAAGAGACGCCATGCTTAAGAGATGCTGAGTGTGGGGAGTGAATGGAAGGGGTCATGCCCGGTACTTTGACGGGGCATACAGAACCCCACTTAACGACTTGACGAGGACATAGGGGTGAACAAGAGCTGTTGGCGGGGTCTTGTATCATGTTACGATACCTTTTTTCAAGAGCGAGAATCGCTTTTGCTGAAAAGGACGGCCGAATTGCTCTTTGTGGATCCATATACCGGCGAGGGGGGACAGTTACCAATTGAGATAGGGCAATATTTATGGCGTGCTCTACTGAGGAACAGCAGAGAAGCTGATCTCCGAAGAATTTAGCACGATGTATGCCCTGCAATCGACTATAGTGAAGTGGATATCTTGGTGTACAGTACTTTCTACTGTGACAGAGTACAAGACTCGTCTCAATTCTGCTTCGCCGACCAAGAATGCGTGGCCGTCAGTGAATTTGCGCCGACTCTCAACTTCATGGAAGTGGCACATTCCCCCGTGGCAGTGTCCAAAGAAGAATACTCCACGCCCTCAGCGGGAAATACAACATGATGGCACATATGTAGACGACCTTCCTCAGCGGGCTGTCCCTGGGACAGCTAAACTGAATATCTCGCCCTCACTACCTATTCACCCTCCTATCGTACCTGAACCAAACTGGCTTTTCCTATGTCAATTCTCTCCTACCCTATCCGCTCCTTCTCCTTCTCCCACTGCTCCGGCGTCAGACACCGTGGCGTCCACGCATGGATCGCGGCAATCTCCTCCTTCAGCAGGCCATTAATAAGTCTGCTCCGCGCGAGTAACGTCTTCTTCTCGAATTCGGGAGACACGATGATGGCGTTGAAGGCCTGGCCGCAGCCGCCGGACATGTCTTCTATGGAAATGTGGGTGATGTCCAGCGACGATCGGAGCTTCTTGGTCAGATACTCTGCGTCTATGGGCTGGGAGAACGACGAGGAGACTTGCGCGGCTTGCGTGTCGGTATTCGCGGCCATGGGGACGTCGATAGGGGAAGACGCGGCTCGGCGGGCGACGGCGGAGAAAGGGCGTGAGTGCCTGTGTTGGGAGAAGACTGCTGGTTTGAGGCTTTGGGCGACGCTCTTTGGTGAGCGGAGTGTGGTCGATTTCGGTATCAGTTGGCGCGTGGCTTGGAGTGCCAGGACGGTGCGGACGTGCATGAGGCTGTGTGAGTTTGGAGTTACTGGTGTGAGAAGCAGTAGTTTGATGGGGTGGGAATGCAGTATTCGTCAGGAAATCGGATCGCGATGTGGTTGCGAGTGAATTGGAAATCCATGCGGGCGAATCTTCGGCCACTTGCATATTGCGTCACTGGGGTGCTTGCAGCTCGTGCGGCTCAGCCTTGCGCGGACGGCGGTCTCCAACGACAACGACAACAGCGCCGACAAGCGGCACCCGAGTTCAACGCGTCCGCGCTCTGAATACCTACAATGCGCAGCTCCAGACTGAATCCGAATGCTTCGACCTCTGCTGCCACGAGCTCCATCCGTCCCTAAGCTCCACGCACCTCGGCTTCCCATCCGTCGCAAGATGAGCAGCTACCATGTTTCCCCATTCACCACGGCGGTGGTGTCCTCGATGCGCCGCCTCTACCCCGAGGCACTGGCAGACAAATCCTTCGACAATACCGGCTTGCTACTAGAAGCGCCCTTCATCCCCTCGCGGCCGCGCAACCGCAACTCTGTCCTGCTGACCGTCGACCTCACTCGCGCAGTGGCAGAGGAAGCTATCGAGAACAAACACTCCATCGTGGTTGCGTACCATCCCATCATCTTCCGTCCTCTCAAGTACATCACCACAGGCGATACGCAACAACTATCCATGACCTTGCTGCTTGCGCACGGGATCAGCGTGTATTGCCCACACACCGCGGTTGACACGGTTCCCGACGGCATGGCCGACTGGCTCTGCGACATTGTGACGGGCAAGCTCGAGGACCCCGAACCCGAAGCCTACGCCGCGGCGCCTCTGCCTTCTGAAACCGAAGTCACCACATCAGAGAGCGGGCCCGAGGCACCCTCCAAGGCCTCGACGAGACCGACCTCCCCTTCTGCCGCGGAACATGACAATGATGCCATGACCGACCCGTTCACCACACCAAAGGCGAAGATGAGGCTGGAGAGGCCGAATCATGTACACAGGACGTATTCGAAGCCCGGTCTGCCGCTTCCGACGGACGAGTTTCACACCAACGTGATTTCGCATGCGAGACACGTAATAACGCCTTCTCGGCGGATGGCAATCGACGCAGCGAACCAATTCACTGGCTCTGAGAACTACAATGTCTCGAATACCGGCGCTGGGCGGTTGATCGAGTTCTCCACACCGCAGCCTTTGACCCTCTTAATTACGAGGATAGCACATGCGATTGGACTGCCCAAGGGCTTTGCCGTGGCGATCCCGCAAGGTCAAAACCTAGGGGAGATCAACATCTCCAGTGTTGCGACGTGTCCAGGTAGCGGAGGCGGTGTCGTCAGAGGCACTCACGCCGATCTGATCTTCACGGGGGAACTGAGTCATCATGAGGCGCTTGCCGTGATTGAGCGGGGCGGATGTGTCATCACGCTTTTCCACTCGAATTCAGAAAGAGGTTATTTGTGGGGTGTCATGAGAGACAAGTTAGCGAGAGAGGTCAAGAGTGAGTGGGCCAAGGTGAGGAGTGAAGGGAGTGGGAAGAGGGGTTCGAGCGAGGAAATACAGCAGATGTTGAAGGACGAGAGTGTCGAAGTTGTGGTTAGTGAGAGGGATAGAGATCCCTATGGAATTGTGGTGCTGGACGACACAGCGGTTGAAGGACAGAAGATCAATGGAGGTGGCACCTGAATGAAACCCCTGGACCGAATCGCGAAGACTATAGTATCTCGCTCACCTACGCTCTTCGCCGCACAGCATGGCACGGCGCACCCGCGACAAGCAGGACCATGGAGTTCGAATACTCGCAGAACCCACCAAGTATTGCTTCGGCTCCGTTTGGTGAAGGATCAATCAGAATTGTGCGAACCGGCTACTGCTTTGTTGACCCTCGGAATGAACGACAAACTGGATAGTCCACCCGCAGCGACCAGTTTTACGACGTTCGTGTCGCCGAGTCTCTCACCATTTCTTCCACAAAATTGTGCCCTCTGAGGAAGCCATCCGTACGACCCCCAGGGCACCGTGCTGCCTACCGACATGCCACTGTTATTTCCGCAACGAGACGAGGTCTCGGAAAATGATATTGGATGGACGGCAGAGCTGCCGGAACGGTACCGGCAAAGTGTACTCAACGCTGTCGAACGACAACTTCCGGTACACACCCAATGCATAGCATTAATCTTCCAGCTTGAGGGACAGTCCGTTCCACAACAAGGCGGTACTACTGTACGTCGCAGTATCGAACGGTGGAGGCTGTCGCTGCTCGTTGAGCACCGGACCAGAATACTATACATATTGGACGACTACTCCCTGGACGGGATCCGCGGGCCCTCGTTCCAGGGAATCCTCACCAGCCCTGCCATTCTTTAGGGCCCCGGGCTTCGACTCAGAGTCGGACGCGAACGAGAGCTCCCTAGCGCCCATTGTACTCCATTGTTCTCCCGTCTGATCTACTGTGATAGACGTCGAGGTCCTCTGAAGCATCTTCTTCCACTCCAGAGTCCCATTAGGGGAAGCCATGACAAATTGCCTCGTCCGCACCGAGCACCTCTGCACGAGAAACTCTCTGCAAGTCACGCACCTGGACGTGCTCATCCAACTGCCGAGATACGAATGAATACTGGGAAGAGGGCCAGCCCTGATTATCAATCTCGATGACAACGTAATTATCGTGCCTTGCGTCGCATTGGACACAGTCATATCACCGTTTACAATGTGTCCATGGACTCACTCTTGATTGATTCCTTATGCCGGCACTAGTCATTCACCATGTATGTTCTCGGGATTAACTGTCTCCTACCTAGGTACCTAGGTACCTTGGCATCCACCACCCACAAACTGCGATACACCTCATAATTTACAGCAGCCATACCGACAGTGCATGTTCGCGATGGTTCGGACCACGACCCGGTGGACCGCGAATGCCAAGATGGATCCCTTTCAATGTCGCGGAGAGACACCACGCGAGCCGATTTAACCCTCTCTGTCTTTATATCGGCGCAACAGCCCTGCACTTTCCAGAGAGTACGAGGTATGAGGTACTTCCCAGACCACGCACCCACCGGAAACTCGATACGCCGATGGACTCCGATGTCATCTCGTTTCACCAGGCCCCTAGGTAGTAGTTATATTTCATGTTTAGTCGGCAAACTCCCGTGCCTGCCAGAATCTCTCCCTCTTTGTGGACGAGCTGAGAGGTCTCCATCGTGTACATACTCGTAGACCTTCTCCCATTTCTCCCTCTTCGTCGACGATCTGGACGTCTCCATCGTGTGCTCGTAGGCCTTTCGCCCAACCTCTCCCGCCTCGTCGATGACCTGAACGTCCTTATGGTGTGCTCGTTGACAACTTTCCACCCTCGACTCCCCCTTCTCGATTCCCTCGTTCTTCTTTCACGGCACAGTTACTCTCCCCCACTCCACGTGAGCGAGTAGAAGACACGCCGCCGTGGCCGCCAAATACGCGTGACAAGCCCTTCGTACCGCTCTTCCTGCGTGTCTGGAGGGCTGGAGATCAGCAAAGGGCCCGTGTGGAACCCTGTACCAGGACGCGCTGCGCCTATATAAGGGCACATGGGTAGCAGATCTGGGCACGCCAGCACAGAGCGTCGCAGCGATTATCTACCCTTTTAGGGCGGGAAGATCAAACCCCCTTGGCTCATCATCAGGTAGTGAAAGTCAACGTGGGCGTCTCTCCCGTGTTGTTGCTCATGGTGGTGACAGTTTCCCGCGGAGCTGATCAACATCCCTGACCAACGGCACGTCTTCTGCTTTGATGAAACCTGGACTCGAACTTGGTGTCGGCGTGGGCGTGGGCGTGGGCGGGGGCGTCGGGCTTGGACGCCGCCTCTCTGTAGTAGGGCACCACTGTATCTCTCCAAGCTCTGACTGTCTATCTTCTGAGAGCAAAGCTCTCAGAGCTATGAACTACGTATGCAGCACAGCTCCTGCCTCGCCATGCGAGGGCAATGACGGAACAAGGAAGGGACAGGGCAGGGATGAGACTGCCCGCCACACTCTCCCTCTCCTCGTCCCTGCGCACAGATTCCACCGACGGACAGTCAGCTCGGGATATTGATATTGATCTCTGCTTTGAATGCTTCAAGGAGGCTGGGCAGAACCTAATTACCTGGCGCGATTAGTGGATACGAAGCGACGCATAGACAGTAATATGTACCATGTCGGCAGAGAGTCGAAAAGCCGGAATCCATCCCAAATATCACATGAATCTGGATCTGCCGCGGGTGGAGCTGCAGTTAGTAGATTTCGTATTCCAGGTCTAGCGCTCACCAGAAGGAGCATGTCCTTCCTCGTAAGAGAGGTATGGTATTTGGCCAGCGTCTGCTTGTCGGCATGATGAACGAGAGGATGCTCGTGCTTCGTGGTAAAAAACTCAGAGCCAGACAATTGCTAATACGGACAAAAGCAACGGCATAAGCAACGTCGCGCTGCGGTTCATAGGCTGCGACCTGGCTCACGGATTAGCTGGAGACGACGAGATCATTATTGTCCGCGTTGCAACCCTGCTTCTGGTCCAAGGTATGCATCTGGCCATCGACGGTCAACTTTTGAATACACTTTGCGTCGCAGGAGATCCCGCTAGGTCGACTCGGAAACTGATTGATGGCGTACATATTTGACTGCACCAGATTTCTGTCATCGTAAGAACGGGTGATACCACAACCTGCCTGCCACAAGAATGAGCCAGTACCGCGGTTAAACTTGATAGGCCTGAGTGTAGGATCTCGGCCAGCGACCGTAGATCGTACTCTGTCATGGGATGTCTTCCTCAACTGATCGACGTCAACAACCCGTAGCCAGCGGGACAACATGTAGTGAAGACTTCACAGGCTGAGGATTAGCCTAGGAACGCCTCACAATAGGGCACCAGCACTATGACCAAGATCACTACATCAGTAGGAGGCATCAGCAGGACTGGCATTCCTTGGAGAAAGCACATATTCGAGTCGTTCAATGGTCAAAATTGACTTTTCGCCTTAGCGGCGCCAGCGATCTCCGGTATCGTTGCCGAGATGGGCCACTCAGATATCCAGACACAGCAAGCTCTGTGAACCCGTCGCATTCAGTCGGCAAGCCCATCTCTCACACTCGGTTGATCGAAAGGCGGCTTTAATCAGATGACAAGCTTAGACGCGAAATGGGAAACCAACGCACGTTTGACCGGGATCCTGGTTTGAGAGAGATGAACGCGTCATTACCCTGCGAGGGACCTGATAACCGTCGGCCACCGACCTCCACAGGCGGAAAACCCTGCGGCTTCGACACCAAAAAGCATCAACAACGGCCTTTGTCCTCGTCTTCGCTTTTACGTGACTCGACCCTCAGCTCTGAGAGAAGCCGGAGGCATGCGGCAGGCCGGGAGGCTGTGTCGACAGGGAGCGCGGAATAGCGGTGAAGGCCGACTACCTGTAGTCCTGCACCTCGCACAGAGGTGTGATGGATCGGCATAAACTTCCGCGGGGCATACTTGCCACCCGAGAAAGAGCCCACGGATTGCAATGATGAACCTGAGCCTCCTTCGACAGTTGCGTTGGGTTTTGGGGCTGGAACGCCAAAGACCGGTACCAACGCCGACGCTCATGCTCATGCTCATGCTCATGCTCATGGCTGATACGGATGCAGCGGGCCGACTTGCCTGTGATCGACCTGAGCTTGAGAGCGCAGCCCCGGGGACTGGATACTGTGTGTACCCTGCGAAGGTGTCCCTTCCGGCTCGGGGACCACTATCCGCTCGAGTTTGCAGCAAAACTACCAATGTCGTTCATCGATCTAGCCACTTGAAGCCGTTCACGGGCAGGAAAAGCCAGCAAATGCCCCAGTCGTGCTACGCATCGCCATAGCTCTCCCATCGGGCAGCCCTCGGCAAGACAACAGATCGAGTAAAGCCTAGGGAGTCAGAGGAAGGGCTTCTAACCTAAGACACGCGCCACCGAACAAGCTCGTTGCAGATGCCTCCAGAGAGTAAGGTCAAGGTCAAGGTGTGGCTCTCGCTACGCGGTTAGTCTTGCACACCAGGATCGGGGAGCCGCAGCTTTCACGCAGGCACGCCGGCAGCCATCCACGGCTGGAGCCTTACCACTGATCGGTGGTGTGGGCTTTGATGCGAGGGTTGGTAACTCAGCAGACGCAAGACACTGCATGCACAGGTGAGCAGAGTCTTCCCTAGTTGGTCGTCAGATGCATGATCTGTGTTTTCTTCAGTCGCTTGAGACCTGGTGCTAGGTAAGCGTTGGCGTGTTGAAACTTGTCTTGCTGGGCTTCCAAGCACACCTCTTTGCACAGGATTTATCAGTGAGCACAGCGAATCGCAATGGCGTGCTCAACCCGAGCCCGGAATCGATCGAGGGTGACTTCCTGGACAAGACCAGACCTCCCATAGTCGCCCTTCTTGCGTCCCGATCAGGACAGAACTCGACCTCGAACTGCCTTCCAAGCATCGAGTACTATTGGCAAAGCTCTCTTCCTACTTCTAGACGCCAAGCCGTGTTGGATTCCGTCCATTCATGACGCTTTGTGCGTTCCTCTGCCATATGAGAAAGTGCTTCCACCTAAAGTCAGGCTACTGCATGGCTCGAGGCGCATTGTCACAGCACGTAACGTCTGTGACTTCAGGCACGCGGTATCCACCAGGGTATGAACGGTCCCAGGTGCCTCTTACGGCTCGTTGGT